TTTATCGTCTGTGTTCATAGCATTTTTTTTCTTCCACTTCTAGGGAGATATAAGCCCTTGAAATGCTAATTCTGCCACAAAAGGTGGAAAAAGAGGTTTTAGTTTTTCTAAAATGCCCTGCAGGCTGAAAAGTCTTTCTAGTTTCACAATTGAGAATTTCTCCTGTGCCTGCCTCACTTTCCCCAGTGTGACTTTAGTGTTGTCGAGCAGGCATATTCTCTCCCTCCCTCCCCCTCTCCCTCCCCCTCCCCCCTCCCTCCCTCCCTCTCTCCCTCTCCCCTTCCTCCCTCCCTCCCTCTCTCTTCCTCCCTCCCTCTCTCTGTCTGTCTCTCTGTCTCTGTCTGTCTGTCTGTCTGTCTGTCTGCCTGTCTCTCTCTCTCTCTCTCTCTCTCTCTCTCTCCCATCCCCCTCCCCCCCAGGAGCCCAGATTTCAGGCTTAGCCTTCTGGATCTCACACCTGCCACATCCTGCCTGTTTCCTCCCTCACTGAGAAAAACCTTAAGGAAACCTCTGCCCCCAGATGTAAAACAAACTAGCAAGAATAAAGGAAATCTACTGACCATGCAGTTAGGTGTCTACCAGCTGCTGGTCCCCTCTCGCCCTTCCCTGTGAAAGACTGACAGGGTCTCATCTTCTCTGCCCAGTGACTCCATTCTCTCTCATGAAACAACATGACCCTGTGGTTTTCCTTTTCTTTCCCATAGCCTAATGGCTCCGGGGTCTCTTCAAAGGCACTGGTAGCCTGCTGCTGTTTCCTCATCGGAAAACAACGCTCTCTTGACCCTTGATCTAGACTCCGTGGCACACTCTTCTCTAATTTGGTCGGAGCTCTTGGGGAGTGTTGTCTTCCTGCCCGACCCTCCCACCCTCTTTAACCACACACCAAGATCCCCTTTGTTGCCACCCCAGCGATAGATACTCATGCGGCTAACCTGAGCTACCTAACTTTTCTTTTTTCAGTTGTCTTTAGGTGCACATGTGTTTTGTCTGCATGCACATCGGTGCAGCCCTCGTGCACCTGGTGCCCGCTGAGGCCCTGGGAGTTATCCACGTGGGTGCTGGCTCTTGAACCCAGGGCCTCTGGAACAGTGGCCAGTGCATCTAACCACTGGGCCATTTCTCCAGCCACCGAGTTGTGTTAGTTTTCAATCTTCATCTTACATGGCCTGTCAGTGACTAACATCAAGGCCCCTTGAAACACTTTCTTGACTTGGTTTCCAACACATTGTAACAATCTTGATTTCTCTCCTGGTTTTGTAGCTTCTTCCTGGACTTAGCTTGTTGGTGAGCCTTGACCTCCTCCTCATGTGCGTAAACTACTGGGCTTGAGCAAGAGTTTGGAGGTCAGTACCATCTGTACTGGTGAATCAGGCGTTCATCCTTGGACCTTGGCCTCTCTCCTGAAGTTTAGATTTGCATATACTCTACTTTCTGATCAGCACCTCTACTTGATTGTTTGATAGGCATTTCATAGTTTATGTTCCAAATCTGAATTTTGGATCATCCTGTCTGCCACTAAACTCCTTTTGCACTTTTCACTGTCTGAGCTAATGGAAACTATATGATTTCTGTTCCATAAGTCAAAGGCCTCAGCGTTTCTTGATTTCTCCTGTCCTGTGTGATCGATCCTTCGTTCTACCTCACTCCTGACCCCTTTGAATAGATAATCCTCATCTCTTGCTTTGGCAATAGTCTTCAGCTCACCATACTTCATAGTATCCTTTTTGTTTTCTAATTGATACACAGTGTACATTTTAAATCAAGCTCATCCAGAGAAGCTGTTCTTGTCTGATACTCAGTCCCAATAGGACCAGGCTTCAGTTGATCAGAAAACCTGTTAAACACCCAGCAATGCCATAGTCTGTACTGAGCCCTCTGGGATAATGGATAAGACACATCCTTGGTCCCTTGCAGACTACGCTACTAAAAGTTGGTCAGAAAGTTCTCTGAGGGGCTGGAGAGATGGCTGGGCGGCCAAGAGTGATTATTGCTCTCGTAGAGGATCTGCCTTTGATTCCCAGCACTTACATCACGTGGCCCATAACTGCATGAAACTCTAGCTCCATGGGATGAGACATCCTCTTCTGGCTCTGCAGGCACTCACACTCAGTACGCACACCCCTACACAGATACAGGCATGTATACAAACAATAAAAGGCCTGGGGTACCACATAAGAAAAGCTGGTGATGAAAGCCAACCCTGAGCTGGAAACACTGAATGTCCATCAGGCGGTACACAGAGTGCTTCTGTACAAGACAGTGTTACAGGACCATAGAAAAAATTAACATTTGCTACATACAGCCTGGAGGAACCTTAAATAGCCAAGTAAAAGGTCAATCACAAACTGCTTTGTACCATGTGATACAATGTATATGAATTGTCTGGAAGGTGCTGGAGAGACAGCTCAGCATTGAAGAGCTCTGCTGCTCTTCCAGAAGACACAGGTTCAATTTCCAGCATCCACATGGCAGCTCACAACCATCTGTAACTCCAGTTCCAGGGGATTTGACGACTTCTTCTGGCCTCCGTGGACACCAGGCATGCATGTGATTGCACAAATGTATAAGCAGGCAAAACACACATACATACGAAATAAAAATAAAGCAAAATTTAAAAGATGTCTGGGGTCTATGAAGCCATAGACATCAGGCGGAGTGTGGGTACCAGGTAATGGGGAGAGGCCATTGGGAGTGACTGCTGATGGGATGAGGAGTTCCTTTCTGGTTGTGGTGACAGCTCTACAGTTCTGAGTGTTAGATGATACTGAATCGTGTACTAAATGGATGACTGTATATTATATGTGCTGGTAATATTTCACCACTGTGTCACAAGCCAGAGTCATCTGAGAGGGGGTCCCTCGGGTGAGAAAATGCCTCCATGAGTTTGGCCTGTAGGCAAGTATGTGGGACATTTTCTTGATTAATGATGGGTGTGGCGGGGCCTAACCCACTGTGGGCATTGCTGCCCCTGGGCTGGTGATCCTGATTGTATAGGACAGCAGGCTGAGCTAGCCAGTAAGCAGCACTCCTCCATGGTTCTGCTTCAGTCCCTGTCCTGACTTCCCTTCATGACGACTACAGACTGGCTGTAAGATGAAACAAACCCTTCTCTCCCTGAGTTGGTTTTGGAGAGTGTTTTTTTTTTCACAGCAATGGGAACCTAACTAGTACAGTATATGACTCATATCTTAATAACGGAAAACCAACACAAACCACAGTTACTCTGTTGGTGGGAACACAGTGTCATGGCTGAGACTTGAACAGAGGGTATGTCAGAGACAGGGTTGGAAGATCAGGTGAAATGACACTAGTTTGTAATGAGAGTGGAAAGTGGTGTGCTTGCCCTGGGGTTGTGATGCGGGGACACTGGAGGTCAGATAGCCAGTGTCAGAACAGCGGCAGTGCCGAGCAGAGGCAAGGCGTGTGTGGACCGTGTGGAAGTGGAACACTTGAGAACCCGTGGGGGTGAAGGAGGACCTGCTGTGTGTGGGAAGCAGAACCAGCCACGAGGCATGACTCCCAGAAGTCGTGTGGATAAAAAGAGAACGTGCCATACCCCTGAGATGGCCAGGAGAGACAGTGTTGGCAGGAGAAACACTGGTCTGGGAAGGTTTAAGTTCAATACGGAAGCTGGATCTTGCTTCGTAATTGGAAGGAATGGGCAGTACCCATGCCTGCTACACTACCTGTCTGTGCCACCAGCCTTCTGATGTTGCAAAGCGGTATAACATTTGTATTACTTAACTAGTGTAACCCAAGTCATTCGTTATATTTAGTTCACTGTATTTTCTGTGGAGACACATTGTTTTCAATGTAAAGCTGAAAAGTGACTATGGAGATACGAGGTATTACTGAGATTGTAGAGAGCTTCCAAGTAGTAGAGTAACTAAAAAACAAACAAACAAAAAACAAAACACATTATTTTGGAAATGAAGCAATTTTCATAAGAAATTTTTATGCAGTTCCTTTTTAAATGTAATGAAAGTAAGGCTTGTCTATTTCAAAGTGCTGGAGATGGCTGATGGTGATCTGTGGGCTGAAGATAGATGTTTTGCTGGCATGGACCAGGCTTTCTAGGATCTGAAGATGTTGAATATAGAGGAGAGAGCTTGTAGAAAACTGAAGATGTGCTGGGTGGTGGTGGTGGCTGTGGTGGCTGCGGTGGCTGCGGCGGCAGTGCACGCCTTTAATCCCAGCACTCGGGAGGCAGAGGCAGGCAAATCTCTGTGAGTTCGAGGCCAGCCTGGTCTACAGAACTAAGTTTCAGCACATCCAGGGATACACAGAGAAACCCTGCCTTGAATAAACAACAGAGAAACAAAAAAAGGGGAGAGGGCTGAAGAGATGGCTCAGTGGTTAAGAACACTGGCTGCTCTTCCAGAAGCCCTGGGTTCAATTCCCAGCACCCACATGGCTGCTCACAGCTGTCTGTAACTCCAGTTCCAGAAAACTGAAGAAATTGGATACAGGCCCAGGAAGATCTTGAAGCCTTAGTCTCACTGGTGTCATGGCCAGTCTTCCCCAGACTTGATGATGGTGATGAGCTGCATGAGTGTAAACACGGAGCGCGTGGTATAGCAGGCACTGCTCTAAGCAGTTTCTACATATTAACCCGGGAAACAGCCCAGGGTGCTATGCTGAGGTGCAGAGAAGTTAGCCCAGGGTGCTATGCTGAGGTGCAGAGACGTCACAGCCCGGGTGGAAGGTGGAGGTGCCAGAAGAGGACACTAAATGTCAAACCCAGCTTTGCTACCCTCTGCCAAGGGATTCTGGGAGAACCTTCATTTGTTTGACAGGTGTGCTGGTGTCAGCAGAAGCCTTCATTCTGTTGCGCTGAAGTCGGAGGGTGTGAAAGCACTCTGTGAAAAACGTCTCTGGGTACTGCACGGCGTAGTGATCAGGTTCTAGCACAGTGCTGTGGGCGAACATTGAGATTGCGTTTAATTTTGCTGACTTTCATGGCATTCTAATGTTTCTAATTTCTTGGATTTTTTTTTCAGGTTACTTGTCTGCAAGACTTTTTTGGTGATGATGATGTTTTTATTGCTTGTGGACCTGAAAAATATCGTTATGCCCAAGATGACTTTGTCCTGGATCATAGCGGTGAGGCAATTCATTGGCCATCTTTGTTGCTCCTGAAAAGAAGGCTCAGTTTAGTGACATGCATGTTGAGAACATAGGTATCCTGGGCAAAGATGACCAAGCATGGGTGGTGTCAGCTGTAGTTCCAGCTACTCAGGAGGCTGAGGCAGAAGGATCACTTGACTCTAGGAGGACTCTAGGCCAGCCTTGGTGACACAGTGAGACCTTCTCCCTGAAAATATATATATTGAAGGATAACCAGTAAACCGTCCATGGTAATTATCTGAGATCTCTTTTTATATCAGTTTTGTGTGAAACTTAAAAAAAATAGTTTATATATTTATAAAAATTATCTCATGGGTAGGATGAAAAATGCCTATTTATTGATTTTTATCTATTAATGTAGTTTTTGACTCTTATTTCAATAATTTCACATGATACTGGTGTAGTAAGTAGTTATTAGGCGGCTCAGGTAGACTAGATAATTTAGCCCTGGTTCTACATCCTTCTCACTAACTCTCCACAACAAATGAAGTTCTAATCTGTGAAGTCAGCCTTGTAGAATGGTCACTGTAGGTGGGGCTAATGATAGCAATAACAATAAATGATTGTTAAGATACTATATGTGCATAGGAAGGACAACTGTTGCTTTGTGGATAGTAAATTTATCAGAGCTACTTGGATCATTTGGCTTTTGTTGTTGTTGATAATGGCCCTTGATAGCCTCTAATAAATAGGGAAAAAAACGTAGCACTATTGATTGTTCCCCCTCTCTCAATTTCTAGTTATTTAACCTCTTTAAAAATGAGAGTGATAAAAAATAGTTCATGAGGATATATATTAATCTACCTATATTTCCCTCCCAGCCATACCCTTTAAATTTTCTGATAGACATACCTGAGTCTGACCGTCACGTTGTCTTTTAAGAATTACTTCCTGTTGTAATGGGATGACAGTGACTCTATGGAATCCTGTAGGAAAAAATAAAGCAATGTCAAAGTCTTAAAAAAAATGGGAGTGTAATGGCCATTTTGTACGTTTTTGCGAAGGTTAAGTGAATTAATACGCACCTACAGCTAGCGGATCCCAGCGTGTCTTGTTACTTTTGTTATTATCAGTGTTGTAGCGCCATCATTACATGGTGAGGTGTTACAGTGAGAGCAAATCTCAGATTGAATTCTACCACAACATTTTATGAGGGTACAGAGGGGTTTTTGTTCTGTTGTAAACCTCAGTTGTTTGATTGTGTTGTCATCTTAAGAGCTCCAGCTTAGGCTTCCGAGAGCATCACACATTAAAGATGCATTAAAACAATGACAAAAATCAAAAGAAGCATGAGTTTGATCCCTACCCCCCAAAAAAAGAAAGGAATGAAAGAAAGCCTGTTGTGGTGGTGGGTGATTCTAATACCAGCACTCAGGAGGTAGATACAAGCAGAACTCTGTGAGTTGAGGTTTACATGATGAGTTCCAGGTCAGCCAAGGCCACAGAGTGAAACCTTGTCTTTAAAACAAAACATTCAAAATGCATAGACTTCTGCTAACGTAATCTTGGTCGGCACAAAATTTTCTCCTGATTCTTAAACCTGGGTATAGTTCTGAAGTTTTGGGATATTGGAGTCTATTTGGAGGCTCATTAGAGGGCCAGTTTCTCGACAATGTTTTAACAGTCTACACATCACACTTTTGAGACAGGATGGAACATAATCTACAATGCTAATGGTTTAGCAGAATCTGGAACTGCTTCCCCCCCCCCGTTTGTTTTAGGTTTGCTTAGAGTCTTTCAGATGCTAACTAGGCTCCCCTGGTGAGTATTCTTCAGATTTGTATACTTATTGTCACCTTAGGGGCTAGATTAAAACTAACTCACTTTTTAACCTTCTTGTATAAATTGAAGTATTTTGAAGCAAATGACAGATAGAATATTTTTTTTTAATTTATCCCTTACAACCAAGCCTGTGAAGCACATTTTATTCTTACACTGATGTGTTAGGGGGGAAATAGGGAGACTTGGAACTTAAGCAAGGTCTTCCCTCTAGCAAGCAAATGCCAAGCCATGACTCATCCCAAGCCTGCCTGACTGCAAAACCTGTGATGTTAATTACTCTGAAGCGGTGATTGTAGCTGTAATTTGTTCTGGTTCTCCAAATGCTGTCTTGTTTGGCGGTTTATGGAAAGGTCAATGTTGTTGTTTAAAGCTAAAGTTTTCTCATTTTGACTCCTCCATGCTTTGGAGAGATGGGCCACTAGACAGTAAAGAGACCATAAGTTAGAGTTTCAAGTCCTTCTGATGTAAGATGATCAAGGACTCGAAGAGGACAATACAATTGCAGTCTATGCTGCCTATGAAGAAGCTACACACAGATAGATGTGTGGCTTATCTGTGAATGATACATACATCCACCGAGGACAGTATAGTTTCTGTACTTACTAAGAACGCAGTCCAAGCAAGCAGTGATATGCATGTCAGATGTGTTGTCTAACTGGAGATGTAAACATGACATGTACTTTTTGGAAGCATTGAATTTATGGAGCTCAGGGGCTGGCAGCTCACCAAGTTCAGCATTTAACTCATAGCCCTGGAAAAATAAAAGGTGGGATGGGAAAAAGATTGTCAGGTAATAGCAATGGGGCTGGAGAGTTGCCTTGGTAAGGTACTAGACATACAAATGTGAGGACCGAGTTCAAATCTCCAACCCCCTCCCCCACAAAAAGTCATGCATGGTGGCCCATGTGTCTGTAAGTCTAGTGCCAAGACCGGAGGATTCCTGGAGTTCTCTGGCCCACCGGCCTAGCAGAATCCCCGAGTTCAGTGACAGAGCTTATCTCAGCATGGTGACTGAGGAAGCCGCTGGTTTGACTTCTTGCATTCATGATTTCACATGAGCATGTACGCACATACACTAGTCACGAATGTGGCATGCCTTTGGTCAGTGCTGAAATCTGCTTTATTTGCAAATGCGTTTTTGTTCTTTACAGAATGCCGTGTTCTGAAGTCATCTTATTCCCGAGTCTCAGCTGCTAAGTATTCTGGATCCAAAAGCCCAGGACCCTCTCGCCGCAGCAAGTCACCAGCTTCAGGTACTAAGAGAAAGCAGTGGATGGTCTTAGAGGGGAGTGCTCTCTTTAGTTTTCTCACATGTTGTGTACTTACCAGCTTTTGCCAGCTGTGTGCGTCCGTGGTCTAGAGCAATGAAAGACAGTGGAGATTCTAAAACAAAAGCCTTAGATCTGTCTTCCAAAGGGTTAAGTCTTCCAGGGAATCCTTGCACTTGGTTCTGGCACATTCTCTTGCAGATAGCCGCACTGTCTAGTCTTCCTCTGGTGTGCGCATAAACGTATATCACATTTTGGGCACTGTATACTGTATTTTGAGTTCTATGCTTCATAATTGTGGATATTTATCTTCCTAGAATTACTTACATACAGTTCTACACAGAAATATATTTACTTGAAAACGTCCGTAGTCTTTTCCTTCATCAAACAGTTATTAATAGTAGCAATGATTATTCTCAGAAAGAATTATTTACTTAAGTCCTGTAATTTTCAGATCCAAATCCTACAAATCTGTCCAAATTTACACTGCTTTGATATTTTTTAACATTAAAAACCCTCAAATCATACCTCAATAAGTTGATTTTATGAATTGATAGTAACTACAAATAATTTTGCTCATTTAATTTATTGTTAAGGAAGTGATTTTAGAGTAAAAACATTTGTTTTTTACAGGCAGTATTCTTATTACTGCCTGGCCTGCTGCCCCTTGGAGTGAGCTGAGCCTTTTTCTTTGAAACAAGCAGAGTGGTCCCCAACAAGCTGTGGTGACATCAGAGTGGTCAGACTCTCTCTGCTCTCACACTGCAGCCCCGCCTCCCTCCTCTAGGGCAGCTGTGTTACTGTGGTGTAGACCTGCTGAATAACCACTGTCCTTACTGTCTCCCCTGCTCTGTGCATGTGCGTGTGTACAGTAAAGAGGGCTGGCCACTCCAGTGCCTATTCTTCAGCCAAGTCCCCAGGTGAGCCAGGATCCTTACAACTTTGTCACCCCGCTGGGTTTTTGTTTGTCTTTTGCTGCATTTCTGTTTCTTTTGCTCCATTTCCATGAATGTATCTGGCCTTCCCCTGTGGACATCTGTGCCATTTGCAACGTTTTCCAATGCACAAGCCACGTCAGCCTCCCTGCTTCGCTATAGAACCGCTCGACCTGAGGAGATCGCTGAGAGCCATCTGTAGTTGAAGCACAGTGATCCAGGGGGAGGCAGCCTCCTCCAGGACAGCTGTGTTCCAGTGAGCTGTAGAAAATGCTCTGTGACCAAAAAGCTGAAGTTTGTTAGCTGAGCTGGTGCATGCCTTTAATCCCAGCACTCGGGAGGCAGAGGCAGGCGGATCTCTGTGAGTTCAAGGCCAGCCTGGTCTACAGAGCAAGTTCCAGTACAGCCAGAACTGTTATACAGAGAAACCCTGTCTCAGAAGCGAGAATAAAAGTTTGTTAGCAGTAAAGATATGGAATGAATTTCCAGCCTCACACTTTGCCCATACTTGTGTTAAAAGTTTAGGAATAATTTAAAACCTAATTCAAAGTACTTCATGATGGCTGTGCCCAACTGGGATAAGGAGTGTTTTCTGCACATAAAAGGAGGCAGCCAACACTGCATCTTTTAGTTGGGAAGCAATTATTTTCATACAGCGCTCTACACTCAGGCTTTCTAAATATGTGACAGTTGACACTGGGTTTTTTAACCAAAGGTGTCTCTCTGCCATTGACCTTACTTTAGATTGTCTTAAAACTGGAAACGCTAATGGAACGTAAATGTGTTTGGATACAGTCTTCTGGCTGAATGATTCCTAGCCTTTGTTTCAGGTGACAGGTTTATAGATGTTTGTCACATCAGGAGAATGATGAAATAAAGTGACCCAAGAGTCAGGGATGATTAATTCAGCATTGTCCCCTGAGGTCTGAAGAGGAAACTTACTGAACTAATAACACTTCATGGCTACATTTGTCTCAGACCATCTACTGCTCCATGACAAAGCCCAGTGAATACTTAAATGATAACATTTTTAAAAAATCTGACCTTGCAATGCTTAATAGCTGGTTGAGGACTAGCATTTCAGTATGTGGAATCTTCAGCTGAATCCATATTTGGGTAGTGCCAGCCTCAGACTCCCCGGTGGAAGCTGTGAGACTGGAAAGCTATATCTGCTCGGAAGGCAAATGAGCGAGGCCCCTGGAAGGAATCATGTTAGCACTGCAGGAAGCGGAAAGCCTCTGCCTCTGCTGGCACTGCCCCGAGGCTCCAAATCGTGCTTCTGTTACCAATAGTGTTATTTCCTCGTCTGCGGCAACAAGGGGCGGAGAGTATTGTTACAAGCCACAGCACCAGAAGCAGAAGTGCTTGCTTGTACAGAGGCTTTGCCGCGATGGCACTTGTAGTCCAGCTAGCTGTTCAGAAGGCTAAGGCAGATTTGACGTGAACCTGGGCAATGCAGCAGCCCTGTCTTTAAATAGCAGCAGCAGCAGCAGCAGCGCTAATAACAACAAAGACTTGAGGCATTAGCTGGGATTAGTCAGTAACTTTATAAACATAATAATTGTTCATGTCAATATTAGGACACAAAGTGCTGCTTTTGAGAGCAGTTTCTGAATCTGGTCTGCCAACAAAACTTGGTGTAAGTAGCTAAATAGTATGTTGAAATACACAGTAAAGCAGATAACATTTAGTCAATCTAACTCTGAGTCTGATAAAGACTACTTTTAGGGACTGGAGAGGTGGCTGAGGACCAGCCATGAGATCTTGGCACTGACACCACAGCCAAGTGCTCTGTGGATGCCTGTATTCCCAGTTCTGATGTGGAGGCAGGGTCAATGGGGTTTGCTGGCTTCCAGCAGCAACAAAAACACAAACCATGGGTTCAGGAAGAGACCCCACCTTGAAAGAGTAGGCAGAGAGTGATGGGTAAGGACACCTGATGCCCTCTTCTGGCCTCTGTTATATGCACTTGTGACTATACAGTCAACAGACACAAATACACAGACACACAGACACACACACAACATCTAGATAACCAAGCGATTTAGAATTAGGAAAATTAAAAGTTTGGGAAATTAAAAATATTGAAAAGATCAATATCTACTGATTGTAAAATACAATATGATAGGCAAAATGGCTTCGTAAACACAGCCATCCCTGCTCATAGATGATATGCTCCTCGGTCCACGATCTCCGCCTCCATTCAGGAACTGGCACTCCCTTTTGAGTCTCCTGTGCCTTCAAATTTGACTTTCTACACTTAATTTGGGTGATCTAAAATAATGCTGTCTGCCTTCTATGTTTATAAAAAAAAAGTGAATTTCATTCTGTTTTTCGTAAAAGATGAGCAGCAGCTTTCATCTGCTTTGGGCAGAGGCCTTTGAGGCTGACTTCTGAAGTAAGAGGGACTACAAGTGCTTTTAAGAGGAGAACAAACGACTAATCCCAGGTGTTAAGCACCAGCTTTATGAGATCCCTGTAGAATTGGATCTAGATGATGGGATTGGTGTGTTCACGAAGGGTACTGAGATGGTTGGCTGGCACTCTGCAGGCTAGAATCGTGACTAACCTCCCCCCTACCAAAGGGATTAGCCATTGTCTGCTCAGCATACACTCCAGTTCAAGCTTCCTGCCAAAGCAGCATATGGCGCTGTAGAAGGTGCTATATAGAAAACTTCCAGCATTTGCTAAAGAATGAGGAAGTTAAACTGTGAAGAAAATGGAAGTATTAGAAATAACTGGCCTATATTAAGAAGCATTTGAATAATTTATCTTTTAATGACTTTCAGTCAAATAATATTATGAGAAGAAATAGTTGCTTTCACTTTCCATTAAGAATATACCTAAAGAGCTGGGCAGCGGTGGCGCACACCTCTAATCCCAGCACTCAGGAGGTAGAGGCAGGCAGATCTCTGAGTTTGAAGCCAGCCTGGTCTACAGAGCGAGTGCCAGGACAGCCTCCAAAGGCACACAGAGAACATACTTAAGGTCAGGGTTGTAGGTCAGTGGCGGAGCGTGTGCCTAGCGTGTGTGAAAAGCTTAGCTCAGTTCTTAGCACGAGGAGCGGAATGGGAGTAAGGCAGGCGCACATGGACGCAGGCGCACATGGACGCAGGCACACATGAACGCAGGCGCACAGCCCCTCCCCACATTTGCACTTGCGTATTTGGATTGCACACGTCTCGGTGACTCACATTAGTAAATGCCAAGATAAAGATGGACAGTGGCTGTTTGTGGTGGCCTCGTCACAGACCATCACAAGCACAATAGCCAGGCATTCGTCTTTGTTTTCTGGAAGGCAGGTTGTGTGGACGGGGTCTCTTGCTCATACCCGTGATTCCATGATTGTCTTCTATATTTGTTTATATCATTGTTGGGGCACTATTATTGCGAACAATTCTAATTTCACTCCTTGTCTGACTTTGTCTGGAATGCAGTAAGATACATTGCTGTTGCTTTTTGCTGATTTGTCACCTGCTTTGGGTTTTAAATGAAGCAAAGCTTCATGGGAACCATTTTATGCATGTGCTTAGTGTTTTCACAATCTGGTTGTTTGGAGTTTTGATGACTGTCTCCTTTGTTGTTTCCCGGTCAGTTAATGGAACGCCCAGCAGCCAGCTTTCCACTCCTAAGTCCACCAAGTCCTCCAGTTCCTCTCCAACCAGCCCAGGAAGTTTCAGAGGACTGAAGGTATGAAGGAAGAGATGTGGCATGTTTATGTGAGTCTGTTATTTGTGTATTTAGCAGTTAGGTCTCTTTGTGGGCTTGAAAAGCCTGAGCTGGATCCTGTCATCATTAGCTGGCCTCCTTAACTCCCCCCACATGTGTTGACGTCCTGTGAGAACACAGGGTTGTCATAGGTTGAACGAAATGGGGTGAATGTAAGTGCTATTCTAATTATTGTAGATGGGTTGCAACAGCAAAGCATGGGAATACTGTAATTCATTTTAAAAGACTCTTTGGAGTTGTGATTTTAATACGACTAACGTAATCTGACTTTACTGAAGTCTACAACTTGGGAGAAATATCAGTATAACATTTATACCTGCAAGAAGATAGCACAAGAAAAACATGTACATTTTGGTGAGGAACTTAGAAATAAATAGGCATTAACTATGATGTTAAAAAATATAAAGAATTGGGGGACCCGTGGGGGGGATGACACATGCCTTTAATCCCAGCACTCAGGAGGCAGAGGCAGGCGGATGTCTGTGAGTTTGAAGCCAGCCTGGTCTACAGGGTGAGTTCCAGGACAGCAAAGGCTACACAACAGAGAAACCCTGTCTGGAAAAACAAACAAACAAAAACAACAAAAAAAGAAAAAACCAAGAGAAGAAAACACAAAAGTAAAAAGAAATGCAAAAAGCTGAAAAATACAAAATTTTGACAAGTTTCATTTGATTTAGCAAATCCTAGTTCTTTAAATTTATAAAGTATGCCTTGTAAATCAGCAGTAAATAATTGGTGTTAAACACTGAATATTTACTGACACAATCAAATTGTTTATGTGGTAAAGTGCTTTATAAATACTAAAGTTTGTACAAAGTCATGTATGTATCAGTAAATTGCCTTTCCTTCCCTTTGTGTTAAGCTATATCAGATATACTAGTACCAAGAATACAGCCTCTGAAAATGGTTGCGTAAATACCTCAAAAAAAGTTTTCTTTAGGGATGTTGAAGAAACTTTTTGATTGTTATAATGAATGGCAGGGGCTGCTTGCCATGGCTGAGTGAATAAGGAATGAAAACCTGCCGAGTCTAGAACCCCGATACCTTGAACAGATGCCTGAGGTCTGTTTCTCAACTTCCCAAAGTGGGCAGCATTGTCTACCTGAGTGTAAGCTCAGCTTGCCCTACCCTGAGAAGGACGTGAGAACAAAAAGAGAATAATTCAGATTGCCTTGGTTTGTGCTTGCTTGGTTATGAACCTCAGTGAGGTGCCGGATGAGACTGATAGTATTTAGGGATAATGCATAGCTGTGTCTACTCCTCATTTCTGGACTTACTAAAACTAGCCAGGGTGGTGGCTCCAGTTTTTAATCTCCACATGCAGGAGCAGAGGTAGGAGGATTGCTCAAGGTCAAGGCTAGTCTGGTTTGCATGGTGATTTCCAGGCAATCTGGGGCTACAGAATAAGACCCAATCTTGAAGGAAGGAAGGAAGGAAGGAAGGAAGGAAGGAAGGAAGGAAGGAAGGAAGGAAGGAAGGAAGGAAGGAAGGAAGGAGAAAGAAATCCAGAAAATTTAGTAAGTGAAGCTTGATAACCAGATGGCCTGAGTTTGATCACTGGAAGTCCCATAGCAGAAGATAATTGACTCCTCCGTGTTGTATTCTGACTTATGCATGCAAACATATGCACACACACACACACACACACACACACACACACACACACTAAAAAGATGTAATTAAAAATATTTTAGGGACAGGAGAGAAGACTCGGCAGCCTAGAGCACTTGCTGCTCTTACAGAGGACCCAGGTTTGGTTCCCAGCACCCTCCTGGCAGCTCACAACTGTTTGTAACTCCAGTTCCATGAGATATGACACCCTCTTTCTGGATTCTTTTGACAGTAGTCACATACAAGAAACATTCATACACATTAAAAATAAACTAATAAATCTTTACATTTAATGGTATTTTTCTGAAGTATTAAATTGGCTGAGGCCAGTTTATACTATGATTGACTTCTCAATTGCCAGTTTGTCAAAAATAAAAAATAAAAAGCTTATATGAAATAAAACCATTAATCAGCTGAATGCTTTCAGATACAAAACTGTGTGTAGTCTTCTTAATCAGCTGAATGTTTTCAGATACAAAACTGCGTGTAGTCTTCTTAGCATCCATACAGAGTGTAACTGCTGCATTCACATGCAGTCACAGAAGGTCATGTAGAGGAAGCAAAATAATCTTCAGATTGGGAATAATTTCTGCAGAGTACAGAGTCTAAAATAATAGAATGGTAGCTACTGAATTAAAAATTTTCAGACCCAAAACTGAAAAGTGTCAGGACAATGGCAAGTGCTTTGTGTTAGCCAACCTCTTATTATTATAACAAAACCTTTAGGATGACCAGTTAGAGTGAAAAGGTTCATTTTAGTTCACTACTCTTGAAGTTTCAGTTTATGATCACCCAGCCCCATTGCCTGCTTCATGACCCAGAAGTACTTGAAAGACAAGGGATCTGCTTACAGTGATGTTACCTAAAGAAGAGGCATTTCCAGGAGAGAGACCAAATCCACAATTGTCCAATTAAAGCAAGCTTTATTTAGTACTGGCCGGGAAGATGGGGACACTAGCCAAGTCCATACTGATGATTCCCAGGTTCCCATACTGGTGCTGAATTAGGTTAGCCAGGTGCTTGCAAGGGCAGAACCCACAAGGCTACAGACCTTCCTATCTACTTCCAATAGGGGGCAAGCACTCGTCCTGACATACTTCCTATCTATGTACCTCCCCGCCTACTAGTGATCAAGCACATCCTGTGCAGTTGGGGCAACCAACCTTGTTTATGGCAGTGAAAACACAGGCTTGTTATATTTCCTAAACAACAGTCCCCAGCGTTCCAGGAAGTTATCTGTCCTTGGGCAAGCGGGTTTACAGGTCGACTTCTGTCTGCCCTTGCATGGTTCAGACAGGAGAAGGATGCTATACAGCTCTTGTTTCTGTGACCTAGCTTGAGGAGCCAGACCTTCTATTCCCAGTGTCTCAGGAGTCACATGGGTCAGCCAGTTCCGCCTGGGAGGAGGCTCTTTGGGTCCTTTTTGGAGTCTTCCTGCCAGCCACCCAGCACATTTCCACTCTGATCTCCCCAGACTTCCTGTCCGTATTCCTGCTTGAGGGTCACTCCTCATCAGCTCGACCGCTCTCTTTCCTGACATTTGCTCGGAACCATCCTGTTCCCTGCGATCTTTTTCTCCACCTCTGATATTGTTTCTCCTAATCCCCACCTTCCTGTTTTTGTCCTTGACCTCTCAGCCTGTGATCGCTTTCCTCTGGCAGGGCACCTTGGAGTCCCTAGGATGTAGCTGGCAGCTGCCTTCTGCAGGATTACATCACAGCATTTGGGGCAGGAGTGCACATAGGCAATAAAGAATACTAAATATGTCATCGACTGCCAGATAGATGAAGAAAACATTTCCCTGAACTTTAATTCATCATCTGTCCAAACTGAACACTTTCAAGGCGGTCATAACTTCAGAGTCAGGGTACGCATCTGAAATGGCTGAGTTTTGATGCAGAGAGATGTGCCTGGGAGCCCCCCCCCGCTGTGGGCATTCTTGTTGGTTGAAAGGAGGAAGAACAAAGTCCATGTGGAACATTCCCAACGTCTTGCGATTATAGACTGTCTGATGTACTGATGTTTTATCTGCTGATGTCTCCTGGGTCTGCTGGTGGTGAAAGGTTCCCCCAATTTGTGAGGTGTGATGAAAGCGCTGGCTGTATCTAACCTGATTGGCAGAGCTAGAATGTAACTCTCTGACCCCCTGAACTTGGAACCTTCTTTTGAAAGCTGTGAAATGTAAATCCACAGTAGCTGCTGACCTTAGACAGCTCTGCTCTCCCTGGAGCTTTGGCTTCTCTGGTGTATTTAAAACTAAGTTAATAATTTTCAGAACTAGGGAACTGGCCACTCTGAGGCTCTTTTCATTTCCCCAGAAACACTATGTGGTGACTTCATCTTTGAACATAATTGATTTTGTTAGACAGAAACAGAAACAAAGAGGCAGATTAAGTAGTTTTGAAGACTTGGTGCCCTAGCAAAATAAATCATGGCATTGAATACCAGATGCTGTTTGTACATGGTGGTTACTCGGTTATTTTGGTGAATTTGGGGAGAGTTCAGCCTTCTCGGCTGCAGCCCATTAGGATAGATGAGGTGGTCACCATGCAAACCACTGTGTACCAGTTAGAACCACTGTAGGAACTTTATTTAAATGTGTTCATTTTCAGTACCCCCTTGCTCATGAGCATGGGACCCAGGTGGCTTTTCATGCTAGTACGTTAGTGGTAACTGTGTGGCATTGGACTCAGAGGTTGCCGCACTGACCAATCACCACACCCTAGAGATTATGAAGTTCACAGCGAAAGCATGTCGACATTTTTAACAAGAGGCCTATGATACCTCCAGTCTCTAATGTCCTAAACCTTACTTGGAGAGTTGGATCACTGCTGTGATGAAGTTCTAGCTGATTTTGGCTGACCACATGGTCTGTGGAGGTGTGCTTAGGAATGGAAGGGTTCAAGACAACAGATTCCACATAGCTATCAAGCTATCCACTGCCTTGCTTCTTATTTACATACACAGTGGATTCCGTTTATCATCATTAGCCAGCTACGTATCTCAAGTGCCATGAGTAAGTGGGCAGTTCTCTTAGTAGGGACAGGGAAATGCAAAAACATATTTGCAAAGAAATAGAATTTTTATAGTCATTTCAGTTTCCTGTGTTTTAAACACTCTGTATGTCTCTGGGCCACAGTGAATATTATACATTCTATTTAACGATAGTGTTTCCTATTCAATTTCTGGGCCTGAAATGCCAATGAAAAGCCAATTTTTATGGCCCTAGAGAGCCAGGCTTCATGGTGGGGAAGTCAAGCAAATTTAGTCGTGAGCTGAAGTTATGGCTTAGGGAGCAAAGCCACTGACTCCCTCTCCTGACCTTCACCTCAGGCCGTCAGCCCTGAGTGTTCTAACTATTATCATCGTGTGTCTCCTAATAGAATTGCCAGTCATGGTCAGCATTACCAATGGTCATGTCTTTTCATCTTGCATGCTTTTAAACAGCACACGTGATTGCTGTAGATCTGACTGAACAACAGTGAGAAAAGAAAGGAAAAGTTTCAGTACTGTATTATTTCTCATGTCTTAAACTCTGTTCATCTGTGTTACAGTTACATTATCCCCTTTAATATTACTTTTTTCATGACTTTTTTTTAATGAAAGCCTTATTTTCAAGTAGAGGAATATATTGGATAAGTCACTCCTATTAACTCAGTACAGGGGTTTTTGAAAGTTTTAGCACTTTAAGAAATGTCATTTCAAGAGTTAAAGTGTTGTGTCGTTTGCTAAAACTGTGGCTAACCCTGAAGCCTCTGTTGGGTGTCCTCTGCCTCCACAGGTGCAGAGTCTTCACACTCACTGGTTTCCGTTTGCTAGAGAACGGCTCCCACCACCTGTTCTAGTTCCTGCTTCCTTTCCATGCTTCTTGTCACCCTGGAATCACAGTACAAAGCCGGCTTATAATTATTCGCCTGCACAAGGAATTGGGATAGGAAAGGAGAGGGACTTTACTCAAAATAAATAGTGGGGAGGTTACAGAGGTTCACAGGAAGTCAGTGGGTAAACCCTGCAGTGCTTGAAAGTGAGCATGGAGGTCAATGAGCCTGTTCCAGCCCTTGCTCTCCCCAGGGAGCTTCTTAGGGAGTCAGTGAGAACATTGAGACAAGAAAGGGTTTTGGGTGACTGTTACCTGCTTGTAGGAAACCTGAGCAAGTAGGCCTAGAGGGCCAAGCCTGGCCCTAATGACTCAGGTTGTGTGGGGGCCTGTGTCCTGAGTTCGAGCACTGGAGATAGATGGCAGGTGTCCAGACCTGAACCAGCCAGGTGTGAGCCGCCTCATTCTGGGCAATAAGATGTAGATGTGTGGGTAGACAGATCCCTGTTCCTGTCACCCAGTATAATTTGGTGGCCCAGCCTGCAGTCTGTTTGTTCCGAGTTCTGGGAGTAATTACCAGGGCTCTTTTTCATTTATCTTTGAGATTTAACTTTGTAGAAAAATTTCATTCTTTTTATTTTTATTCCACTAAGGGTTGGGGTATTGGGAATGGCAATGCATGTATTTGTAGTCCCAGCACTCAGGAGGCTTACACAGGGCCTCTTGAGTCCAAGATGAACATGAGCTACACAGCAAGAGCCCTGTCACAAACAGAACCAGACTGGCTAATATTAGCTTAAGTTGGATCTTTTGTTTCTTTGGCCATTTTCAATCTGGAAAAGATTTTATTAGAGGAGGAATCAGCTTGGAATGAATGACTGAACAAGTTACAGAATTGTAGCTCTGTGTTAGGCACTCAAGGGGGAAGCACTCCTAACTGAGGTTGAATTACTGTGCCATGGCAGTGACTTTGCTCAGTGGTTTTACAGGGGTGAACCATCGTCTGCTCTCTAAAGTTCAAGCTGGGTACTGCTGCTTTGCCTTTCAAGAGCAGAAATTTAGACTTGGGGAGTTTAAGTAACTAATAAAGAAAATCATTTGAGTTAATGTAAGTATAAAACTCACTCATGAGGAGCCGTGGTGGGAAATATGCTGGCTGGGAGGTGGAGATAGCCCGGATGTCAAGCTGAAGACCTGGCTGATTTTCTTTGGAAGAAAGGCCCACTGGGGTCTTAGGTCCCTTGAATGTCTCTGATGGTAGCTTGTGGAGTTGGGTTACATGAAACGTGCAAGAGACCAGGTGAACCTGGGGGCGGATCTGACCCGGATGGTGGTTGTAGGGAATGAAATACTTTTTTTTTGTAAGCCTCCTTAGTCTCCTCTCGAAATTTGCTTTTAAACATCCCAGCTTTTAGATGTTTTCTTGTACAGTGCTATCAATTCCGGAGCCACTTCCAAGTTCATTGCCAAAATATAAATAAAATAGGACAAGACAAAAAGATACACTGAAAATCTGATTGTTCACCAATTGTTTTATTGTTTGGAAGTAAAGTGATTGGATGAAGAGCTGGCTGGACATTTAGTCTAGAACTATTAGAACTCTCTGTGGGGCCAAGACTTACATTTGCACTAATTTTGGTAGCTGTTTAGCTGTGATGTCATCAAGCATGCTTTATTTTTTTCCTAATAAAAATTGTATTTACTAAAAGTATTCAGAATGTCAACAAAACAGATGTAGTTTTTTTTTTGAAATTACAGAGTGGTATTCAGTTAACAGATCAATTATCTTCGTATAAGCTGCTGCATCAGAGACAACTGAAGATGGAAAAAACCAAAACAAACAAACAAAAATAAAAAACAAACAAAAAAAAACCTACCGTCCCATGTATCACTAACTTGTGCTGTGCACCAGCAAGAACCACTTTAAATTTCCATGTCACTGTACAGCCCCACACTTTACCAGGCAAGGTCAGTGGCTACTGAAAACACCACCAGGACCGGGCTATCTAAAGACACATTTGGTAGCATGTTACCTATACAAAAAAGATACCATACAGTTTAAAAACAAATCTTACACAGACTTACATTTCAATTTTTCTTCCTTAACAGGAATGAGTTGTGTACAGGGGGGTTTAATGCTTTATAGACACACACACACACACACAAAAAACCTGTGCTAGACCAACTAATTCATCATCATCTTCATCTTCATCTTTGTCTTCATCTTCTTCTGCCTCTTCCTCGTCCTCTTCCTCCTCCTCCTCCTCCTCTTCTCTTCCTTTTTTTCTAGTTGTTTTCTAGTTGCCCTGCATCGGGTTTCCCTGAGCTCTGTAAGCAGCAATATGCTTTCCGTGCTTCTCCTTTGGCGAGGCAGCCTTCCTTCCTCGGGCTGTCTGTCGTCTGCGGCAGTGCAGTCCCGCATCTCTCCTGCCCTCTGCAGCATCACCGATGGGCAAGCCAGGGTGTTCCCCTTTGATTTTTGGGCGATACTCGGAACAGAACAAGAAGAAAGCCGAAGGAGGCCTCTTGGGTGCATTGGGGTCCTTGAGCTTGTTTTTGGTCTCCCTTTGGGGGGGGTGTAGGTTTTCATTTCTCTTTCATAACAGCCTTGTCGGCCTTTGCCATGTCTTCAGATTCCCCTTTTCTCTAGGAGACATGGTCTCCCACCTTTCTGAGCACTTGGAGATCTCTGAGAAGCTGACAGAAGCATCCGGGTGCTGCTTCTTGGGTTCCTCCTGGCAAGCTTGCACAAAGACTGCTTGTGAGGACGTTTGGCCTCTCGGCTTCTTAGGATCGCCTTTGCCCATGTTTACTTGATTTTCGTCTGCGAGGCAAAGTTGCCCAGAGCCTGTCCAGCTCATGCTTGCCCGGCACTGTCTCTGTGGAGCTCAATGTACTGTAACGGCTTTAGAGCGGGAGCCAGACGCGGCCTCCTCACTCTGTCCGCTCTGAAGCATGCTTATTTGTTGAAGTCAAAAGTAGCACAGTTTATCTTAAAAAGTAGTACAGTGTGAATTTTTGTGATATTAAATCTGAATTGAGGTTGCATCTGTGAAATAAATGTATTAGTGTGTTATGTTGTATAAAGGCAAAAAGGAGAAGGAAGTTCTGTGTCGTTTCCTGATTCAGTCATTTGACACTATATAAATATTGTCTGTCACATAAGGACTAGGGAGCTAGTGGTTTGTAAATGTATCCTAATAAGCAATGGTTATTTTCTTCTTAAGCAGATTTCTACTCAAGGCGGATCTTCATCCAATGTGAACGGTGGAGCTGAGCTTGACTGCTGCGTGAGTCCTGAAGGTGCTTCTCAAGCCAATCAATATTTTCATAAAGGAAGTCATCCATCTGAACCTGGTGGCCATCTGAATCCCACCTGTGCCACATTTCTTCCTAACTAGGGATGTGATACGTCACCTGACAGCCCAGCTAGCGTTAGTGAGGTGTTGAGAGTGGGGTCACTCAAGGGCGTGTAGTCTTTCTGCCATAGACTACATTATTCCTGTCTCAGCTCTGAGAACTGGGCTTCCTGTCTGTGCTCTTACTGGTTGGTTATGTGCTCACAATCCCTAGATATTTTTCAGTTAGACGAACACAAGCGTGTTCTGCTTTATCTGGACAACAGGACACATGGTGTTAAGTGGTCTGATCTTAACTCAGAGCCCTGGGAACCCTTTTTTCAGAAGGCTTTGAGCCAGAAATTAGCCCCAACACAGTTACTTTGATAGAACTTTCTTTATAGAACAAGGAGGAAGCTCCAGAGCATTCCTCAGATGGGATCCATCCTCCTAGCTGACCCTTCGGGATTTGTTAGGCTTATTGATTTTTTTGTGGGTTTCTGATTCTAACCAGCAAGGTCAAAAGGAAACTGGTGATTCAGGCATTCTATTTAGGAAATATGCTGAGGGGTTTTCTTTAGTTTCGCTATAGACCTATAAATAATTGCATTGCATTTCATTATTTTCCAAGTACGCAGAAGTCAGTATGAAATGCTGATGTTTCCTTTGCGTTTATCCTTGGTTGCAGGTGTGAATGGAAACAGGTGCTCTGAGTCATTCACTCTTCTGGAGAAATACAGAATCGGGAAGGTCATTGGAGATGGCAACTTCGCGGTAGTTAAAGAGTGTATGGACAGGTGAGGGGGATGACTTGTTCACCCACAGATACGTTTCTCCCTCTGGAGTTTGTTCTTAAGTCACTGAAAGGAGGGCCTTTCTGGGAAGTGTCTCTTTCCCCTTTCCTAAAAGAATCTGTCCTGAGGACTAGCCCTTTGGCATGGCCACAAGCAGTTTATTTTAGTTACATACATAACATTTTGTGTGCATGTGGTCCAAAGGGCTTATCAGAGCTCATCCACCAGCCTGGATAAAACAAGAAACGCTTCTGTAAGACCCACGTCAGGCTCTGCTCAGTGCGCTGTGTTTTTTCATTGGACTTTCACAGCAGCGCTGAACTAGGCCCACAGCTCTGGACAAACGAGCGTGACTGTGGGATCAGAAGAAATGGATTCTGCTTGTTCTTGACCTTTTAAAACAACACGAAAGTCTTGTGTTTCTAGAACACTGTCGTGCCTACTCTGAATGGATGATTTTTATAGTTGTGGCAGGTTTTCTAGAATGTACTGATAATTATAGCTTGTCCATTCTGTTGCATCTCCAGTGAGGGTTCACTGCCTTTTATATATTGCTATGTGTGATACCCCCTGTTTTTGAAGTCTTTTTACAGAGCTCTGGCATACAGACTGCTCCCCAAGAAAACAATGAGGCATCTAAAATGTAACTTCTAAGGACGTGTTAGAAATGTGGTTTATAACATGAGGGGAGAGATTTATACATTCATTACTTTTCCAGACTGGGCCTCATCCCTGTATTCTAATGCACTTTGGCAGAAAGACCTACAGATGAGAGAACACATGTATTCTGAATGATTTCTAAGAATGCTCTGATGGTCTCTATTGAACTGTTTTCATTTGAGTATTTTTTGACCTGTTTAAATTCTACTATGCTAACAGTGAGTAAAAATTAAACAGCATTGGATTAAGATTTTTGTGTCCAATAAGTGATTTCTTTAGTGCCAGGCAGGGGCTATAAGGTGGAAATGATGAAGGCCCTGGCCTTGCCGAAGGCATTGAGGAAAAACAGATACTAAAAGTACAAGGACTTTGCAGTTTTCCTATAGAATCAGGTTGTTTATTTTTCCGTTAATCTGATCCACTTTTCTTTAGAGACCTGACTTGAGATCTAAGTAAAGAAAGTGGTCTTTTTTTTCTTATGTTGGTACAATAGAATTCAAACACGTCTATATGAGTTAATAATGTAAAAGATTTAATTAGCCTGACTTTGTTCTTTTCTTTTCTGTTTTGGGAGTTCCTTCCTCCTGTGACCCCTCTCCACACTGTGTCTGAGGGACAGAAGTGTGGGTGCTGTAGAGGAATTTGGGAAGGAAGTTTATTCTGATTTTAAGTCTTCTCTGGTTATTCCTAGGTCTACTGGAAAAGAGTTTGCGTTAAAGATTATAGACAAAGCCAAATGCTGTGGAAAGGTACAGTATGCACACTTGCCACACAGAAAGAAAGAAGTAATTTGTGGGTTCCAGCGGGGACCTTTGTTGCTGGAGATGGACTACCAGCAACAGAAAGGGAAGTGATAGTTTTCATTCCCCTGTCTTCTAGCGACTTTCAACTCCAAGATGGTAAATTTATTGATCTTGGTTATAATTATAGGAAAACGTAAAACTCTCTTTCCTGGGAGATTCCTAGTCTTAAATTTAGCAACATCTAAAAGGCTAGAACTGAGGGCCATTAAATGTTAGTTACTTATTTCCATGCTAAGAGCTGGCCTTCTAGCTTCAGGAAGCTGGCAGAAAATAAGGTTCCTGCTCCAGAGACAAAAGGTGCCACTACTCAGCACACCAGGTGGCCTGCTTGCTTTGGCTCCCAGGTGATGCCCAGGGGCCCAGCCATAGGCTATACATTCATGGGTTTCTGTAAGACCCAAGGAGCCCCGCGCTTGGACACTTCTAGTCTTAGGAGGCAGCTACTGCAAACCTGCTCATGCTCTTTGCTAGAGGAAATTTAGCTTCCTTATTATCATCAGGGCCAGGAAATGATCCGGCCTTGTCCATCTGTGTTCTGAGGTGTTGGCGGCATAGATATCCCCCGGGCAGGATGCTTGGAACAGTGACTGAGGCAGAAATACCATGAAGTGAATTCTTCAGCACAGTGACACATTCCTGTCTGTCTTACTCTCGACCTGGGTGGAAAGGGTCAACCGATGATGGGCTGCTAGGGGACAGTAAAGAGACAGACACAGAGATTGTGGTGATCCCCTGTGGTGGCAGATGCTACAGGAGAAGGCTGTGGAGCAGCAATGTAACACTAGGTGGCGCTGCTGCCTGCACATGGCTGAAGCACTCGGATGATAGGAGTCCAAAGTAAACTGTAGGCTCCAAGTGCACACTGGATTTTGAAGACTTGAGATATAATGGATGTTACATTTTCAGGTTAATTTTTCCTATTTGCCGTGTCTTTCAGTGTGACTACTAGAAACTTTAGTGTTGCATATTTGAACTGCATTGTAACTCTGTTGGAAAGTCACTGTAGCATCAGAGTACATCGTCAATCCTCCCTTTACCTCCTGCATTGTGACCCTGGACACACACAATGTTTAAGCCTCCTGTGTCTCTGTGTGTTTTCCGTTTAAATATGGTGACTCATAGTGTGTATGTCACAACTGATGTTGTGTGCAACACAAGGCTGCGGCAGTGGTTGGTGGGATCAGGCATAGAAAGCACATCCAAAGCGCCATGTGTCAACCCTGCCAGCATGCCAGAGGACTCGTAGGTGATTCGATAGTACTGGCTTTCACTGTGAAATTGCTAAAAACGAACAAGTAATTTTTAGTGGGCATTTATGAAACCATGTGACTTTAACAGAACATTTAAAATAGTGTTAAGGATTTTCTAGGAAAACCTTCTCCCTAGGAGGCAAATGTGTCAGTTATTATTTTCTCTTGTAATTGTCAGGAAAGCAAAGGTGGCGAGATGGCACTTTTCGGCATGTTTATGTCTGTCTGAGCTTAAGTGATCTTGCATATTCTTTAAACGTTTTTAAATGCTATTTTCTTTGTGTGTGTATGTACGTATGCTGTGTTGTGTGTGTGTTGTTTTGTGAAGTGTGTGTGTACATGTATGTGTTGTGTGTACATGCATGGTTGTGTTGTGTGTGTTTGTGTGTGTGTGTGTGCGCGTGCACACATGCCAAAGACATCTTGCCTAAGTCAGTCTTCTTTGTTTATGCTTCTAGTGGTATTACTAATTCTCAAATGTAATAACTGTTTCTCTACATTTAACTGTTAGTCTTTCCATCTTTGAGATGATCTAAGTACACTGTGTCATGAAATGGGCCATGTTCTATATGACTATTACATTTCCTTCACAAATATTAAGGATGAGGTTAAGCGTAAGTAGCTATTTTCATAGTTAAAGATGATTGCATGTGAGAATTTAATGTGATACACACTGACTGCCTACACACGAGGGGAGAGGCCACTTCAAACATTTGGATTTGTGTCTCCTTGTTACCGAATGTGGTCCTGTTTTTGCAGTTCACAATCTTATGCGTCTCTACATTTTTACATTTTGCATATTTGACCAATAAATTCCATATCAACACTCGATAAAATTATAACTTAAAACTTGATGTTGCAGATTGTTTTTTTCTGCTGTGAAATTACATTTCCAGGTAAAAATAGCATAATTTGTTTACAAAATCTTAGGGGACCATCTAGCCACTGTTATGGGGAACATTACTCACCTCTGCTTTGTGGGTTTTATACGGAAAACTAGTGTGTTGAAAATAACTGCCAGCTTGGGGATGTAGAGACTTTGCACAGTCGTGACTCAGGACACCTGCACCAGCTGTGCAGAGGAGGAAGCCGAGATTCGGGTTAACTAGCTCCCCACAGAGCGGCAGAGGCGGAGTCCTGACTTGAGTTTGGGAACAACCTCTACCTTGGCCAGTCTGCCATGCACCTCTGTGTTTCAGCTGCTAATTCTTCGTGTAATAGGAATCTAGGGAAATATTCACTCTTGTCTTCTGTTTCTTCTTCTAAATACACGAACCTTATTAGGTTCTGAATTTTGGTGTGTGTGCTCTGTGTAAGACACGATGCTGGGAGTAGGTAACTCACCACAGGAGTTAACTGCCGATCCTGAGTATGCTGTGAGCTGGGGGAATGCTTGTGGGAGAGGAATTGGTATCCCTGAGGATGCCTAGGAGTGAAGTGTTTGTGGAGCGTGGGGAGATGGCTCAGAGGGTTAAAGTGCTTCCTGTGCAGCCTGAGGTCCAAAGTTCAGTGCCCAGAACCCGTATGTATAAGACAGGTCATGTAGCCCATGCATCCGTATTCCCCGGGTTCTTAAAGGAAGATGGGAGCAGAGACAAGAGACTCTCTGGAAGTTGGTGGGCCAGCTAGCCTGGCATACAGAGCAGAAAGACAGCCAGGAGACCTTTTCTCAAACAAGGTGGAGACTGAAGGGGATGATACCTGGAGTTGTTCTCTGACCCCTGCATGAGTGCTGAGACATGCACACGGCTGCTGTGTACTCACGCACGCACGCACGCACGCACGCCATACAGATCCAGAAGAAACATTTGAGCTGCTCCTGAACTGTGCCATGATTTTGGCAGGCAGTGATGAAAGCATAACCTGCCAGGGGGCCAGAGTGGATGGAAAAAGCCTTCCTAGCCCTTTTCTCCTTGTATAAAGCCTGGTGTGACCTTCACCTCCAGTGAAGGTACGACACTACTGCTTGTTCCTGTCTTTTCGGTGAAATAGTAGCTCCATTTTACAGCTGCCATTTTACTTTTTAAAAATTCCAACTTTTTTTTTTTTGAGACAGGGTTTCTCTGTGTAGCTTTAGAGAACTCACTCTGTAGACCAGGCTGACCTTGAACTCACAGACATCCACCTGCCTCTGCCTCCAAAGTGCTGGGATTAAAGGTATGCACCACCAACGCCCAGCAAAAATTCAAACTTTAATTTCACTCAGGCATTCCCTTCTAAAAGCAATTGTGGGGGCTGGAGAGATGATGGCTCAGTGGTTAAGAGCACTGGTTGCCCTTCCAGAGGTCCTGGATTTGATTTCCAGCACCCATATGGTGGCTCACAACTGTCTGTAACTCTAGTTCCAGGGGATCTGAAACCTTCATGCAGGCAAACCAGCGTACATGAAATAAAAATAAATAATTTAAAAATAAAAGGCAGTGATGACCAGTACAAGAGATACAGACTTGGGGCATGAATACCAGGCCTGCATCCCCATCTCCAGGGACTGAAATAAAGACAAAATGTCAGAACATTACACAGGAGCCTTGCTCTGTGCCTGACAATTAGCGAGTCATTTTTCTAGTTGACATTCCAATTTGGCATTTGCTGTCTTTTGCCGAGGGTTATCCCCTGGCATCTTGGATAGGCATAGTACATTCAATGCTCAAGATTTCAACCCAGCATGTTCAAGAGCTTGCAGTAGATTTTGTTCTGCACATGGTATTTGTTCGTTTCTTTTTTTTTTTATGTGCCTCACGGTACATTTGTCTATTTATTACAACTTATTCCTCCAGATATTGTCAGGAGGTTGAAATAGAGTAAAATCGTAGATGCACATGCGCACCAAAGGTATAGAAAAACCAGAAATGGTGTCAGAAACTAGGGTTAAAGTGCCATGTCAGAACACCAGACTTAGCTCTGAGAGCCATGGTAATAAAGGTCAGGGACAGATTCAGCAGCACACACATGGAAACGCACACACGCACGCACACGCACACACATGGCATGCACACACACACGCACACACAGGTGCACACATACAGACACACACGCGCACACGCACGCACGCACGGCATGCACACACATGCACACACACATGCGTACACATGCACACACATGTGCACACACAGACACATGCGCACACATGCACACACATGTGCACACACAGACACATGCGTACACATGCACACACATGTGCACACACAGACACATGCGCACGCAACACACGCACACACAGACACACATGCGCGCGCACACACACACACACGCACGCAGGCACGTAGATGTGTGTATTCACACATCTTCAGATAATACTATATCTTCCATATGAGATTGTCCTATTTCAGCATTTTGAATGTTGAAGAGAGCAGCTTGCAGCTTTTATAGAGCAGCTTCTAAATTCAAATGGATTTGTCATGAAGGTAGTGAGGATCCACACGTGCAGCCTGTAGAACAGAAGGGGCACTGTGTATAACTTGTGGATAATTTCTTAATTCTGTAAGCGAGCATTTTACTTCAGAGCAGTCCTCGTCCACGTCACTCAGCATGAGCAACACTGAGGTAGTGTTTTCAGGGCAGAGGTGGTTACAGTTAAAACGAGCTGTGTGGCACAGCGCCTTCCAGATTTCTGAAATACGGAGTGTAAGGGACACCCATCTGGCGAATGACTTCATGCCCACTCACAGGAGAAGAAAGCTTGTTTTTCACGAATTTTAGCATAAAATTAAAATTTATGTTGGTAACAGTCAAACATTTTGACCTTAGAGCTTGTGTGCCAGTTTGTCTTCTATGCCTAGTTCTTACGTTTGCGTGGAATACTGCAATTAGAAAGTGGTTCTGGCTTTGCTGATCTATAGAAGGCACAGTGCCATGTGGGCACTGTCTTTGGTGCCATTGCCGAGTGAAGTCGCAAACTGTGTGTGTCAGTATGCTCACATTGAGCCCTTCTGGACATGCTCACAAGGCAGTTTCCTTAGGGTCTTGGCAAAGAGATAGTCATTAGTGACCTGTCCTGTCTCTGGGAGGTCTAAGTAAGCAGGTATGGTTGTCCTGTGCCAAGAGACGTGCTACCCGTGGCATCAGAAATGGATATCTATTGTTCTCCAGGCTATGAGGGCAGAGCCAGAGGTTCTGTGACTTTTGACGTCTGTCTCTACACCCTTCATTTGGCAGGAACATCTGATTGAGAACGAAGTGTCAATACTGCGCCGAGTGAAGCACCCCAACATCATCATGTTGGTGGAGGAGATGGAAACGGCGACTGAGCTCTTTCTCGTGATGGAACTGGTCAAAGTAAGAGGGTGGACGGGTTCCACTGGCGTCAAATGTCACGTTGGCTTGCAACTTGTCACAAAGTATGCTACAGCTCCTTCTGTTATTCACACACATCAATTCCATGTGTGGCCCTTCCTTCATCTACTCTGAGCTGATGTGACGGCCGAATCTTGGGACTGAACTGCTGACATTTCCATGCATCCCTTTTATCCTACAGGGTGGAGATCTCTTCGATGCAATTACTTCTTCAACCAAGTACACCGAGAGAGATGGAAGTGCCATGGTGTACAACCTAGCCAATGCCCTCAGATATCTGCATGGCCTCAGCATTGTACACAGAGATATCAAGCCGGAGAACCTCCTAGTATGTTCAGAATCTCTGCTATTTCGTTTTCAACTCGTGCTTCATGATTGTAATACCATGAAAACCATCACACGTATAAATGGCATTTAGAGTGTAAACCAATATCACAATAATGAACAGAGCACTGGAGAGAAACTTAAGAAAAATCAGTACATTCAAGCTGACTGGGGTGTTTTGCATGCACACAATAACATCCTAATGGGTTTCTTGAACTGATGTGCATTTTGTTTTACAGACATAAGAAAATATATTTCCATTTGCTGTGATTATGTTAGTCAGCTTCATGTCATGATAATGGAAAAATATAATATAATTAATGTGTAAAGAGAAAAGGGTTTTGTATTTTGGCCCAAAGTTATGGAGGTTCCAGTCCAATATAGATGGGACCATTGCTTCAGTCCTCTGATAGCATTGGCTGATGGTGTCTGTGAAGAGCATGAGATGAGGTAGGACCATTTGGCCACTTTATGATCCAGGAAGGAAGGAAGGAAGGGAGGGAGGGAGGGAGGGAGGGAGGGAGGGAGGGAGGGAGGGAGGGAGGAAGGAAGGAAGGAAGGAAGGAAGGAAGGAAGGAAGGAAGGAAGGAAGGAGAGAGACTCAAGGGCCTCTGAGGCTATGCAGGCACAAAGTTCTGCCTGTGGAAGGCCCCACCTCCCCCTGATAGCACCATCCTGAGGGTCAAGCCTCTCACACGGGGTGTCTGGGGGACCTTCAGCATCTAAACTTACAACAGCAATACTAACTGAATGAAGAGAACAGAATTGTATGGTGTAGAGCCTTGAAGAATAAATTGGAGACAAGTAGAGCCATGTAGGTGAGAGACTAGAACAGATGTGTTGGAGGCAGGCAGGCAGTTGCTCCCAGTTTTATGGGTGTGGAAATTGAGACTACTTTTCTTTTTCCATGTTTGCAAGTGGCATGTACTCTGTTCTACAGAGTGCAAAGTGTTTTCAGGGACCTTGGTATATGGTCCGTGGTGTTTTACCAGACCTTCTAAAACCCTGTCTCCTCCATCTCGCTCATCACAGCACTCACCTCTAACCCATGGTCAAATCCCCTTCATGGTGGGCTGTGATAACTAGAGCTTACTTGTCAGGGCGAGTTCTTGAGAGCCCAGTGACTGTCAGGAGCCGGAGGAGCTGTTTGGGGGAGTTTCGCACATACACACTCTTCCAAACACAAGGTAGCGGGCCTCTCCGTTACCGTCTTAGCCCAGTGCTGCTATAGCTACCCTTTAACAGAGGGCTCATCTGTGTGCTGTTCCACTGTCTTGGTCCCAGCTGGCTTCTCCATCCCCCGCTGTGGAGACTTCACCAACAGTGTTACACCTGCGTTTCTTCTCAGTCTGGATTGGCAATATCCTTTCCCAGTGTGACCAGCCTCTTCATCTTGTAAGACACTGAGCGAAGTGACACATTTGGCATTATCCCAGCATTTCTGAACAGACTTTGGACATGGCCCTTCTTGGTTTCTACAGTGCTTGTCACAGGTTGTGATTTCATATACTCTCATCTGTCTCTTTTCAGATTGTAAGTCCAGTAGACTGGAGTTCATGATTCTCCCCCTAATGTCTTGGACGGTGCCAAGCAGGTACACTGTGGATGTATGAGTAATACATGGTGGTGGCTCTCGGTCACTCAGCTAGTCAAAATCACTATAGCCACCCTCAGGCGCCACACAAATGATGATTAAAAGGGATATGTGGTGATCACCCCAGGGACTTTCTTTTCTTCTTTTTAAAAATTAAAAATACTTAGTTTTGCTAACCCATAGTGTCCATTTTCCATTTGGTAATACCATTTGTTCCTATCTTGTTTATCTGGAAGTCTGAGTAGCCTTCCTCTTTCTCCCCTCCCTTGCCCTCTTTGTAGAGAGCAGTTAATTTTCCATTTCCCGTCTTGCCATTTTGTTTACATTTCTGCAGCAGAGCAGCTAGGACAGCTCAGTGGTTGTTCCTCCCCACTCAGTGGCCAGGCGGTGGGAGCTGCAAACAGTCCTCTGTGGTTGGCGGGCACCCAGGTCCTCTGTGGGGGCTTCTAGACAGGTGCAGAGTGTGCCTGCTCACCTGTAGACCGGTTGTCTGCCGCCCCAGGCTGAGCAGCAGAGGGGTCAGGATTTGACACAGCCCGCTTGCCCCAACATTCCTCCTGGGCCACAGCCTTCTCAGCAGCTTCTTCCTTTCATGCCCTCCCGCAGATGCTCTTGGGAGAGAGTACTACACGGGTAAAACTTCTGGGCTTTCTAATCGTGTAGCACAGCAGATCCAGAGTGAGCTCCTCTGATGTGTGGGGCAGCAGTGTCTCCATTGCACAGACATCTGTCTGCTCCACACAGCACGGCAGGCAGGCAGGCAGGTCGGCATGAGACGCTTCTGAGAGGCCGGTGGTCAGCTCTGCATCGTGACTCTTGGAGGCTGCCTGGATCTGGTTAGCAAGGACTCAGGCATGATGTAGCCAACAGTGGAAATACTCTGGTGGCTGCAGGAACTCCAGCACAGCCTGCTAGCTGGCTTTCCTGGAGGAAATGGCTCTGACAGCCTCGGGTTCCCATGACTGAACTGCCGGCAGAAGCTATCCCAAGTCCTCTTCGGTTTGATATAGTCCCGTCAGATTTCTTTTGTCGCCGGGCATCTGGAAGTCAGGGTTACTGCCGCTGACATACAGTCCTGCTGCAAGGAATTTAAGGACATTTTCCTCTTTCATTTTCAGGACAGTTTTTCCTTTGCAAGGGAAACTAAGAACAGTGCTGTATGGACCCCTCCCTGGGTATCACAGAAAGACAGAATTCTTTTCTCACTGTCTTCTGCCTTGAGGTATTTGCACCCATAAAACCCTAATCTGAAATTCAGAAGCATCCGGAAAATGTACCGTGAGAGCTAGGCGTGGTGGCCCCTATCTGTAATGTAGTGAATTTGAGGCCAGTCTGAGCTGCCAAGTGAGATCCTGTCTCAAAAACAAGAGACTTTTTGTGTGGCAGCTTGTCACCGAGTGGAAAGTTCCATACCATGAAGTCTCATTTTATACACAAAATAATTTAAAATAATGCATGAATTTATCCTAAAGCTATGTTTTTAAAGTATATGTAAAACATAATGAATTTTGTAGTTGGTATTGGAACCCACCCTCCTAGATACCTCATTATGCTCTATTCTAAAGTCTGAGACATTGCCTCTGAGCATCTTCTATGTATTTTAAGAGACTGTGACTCACTGTGTTTTCAAGGCTGGTACTGAATTCAGAATTCTGGCATTGTGATCATCCTGTCTTAGCTTCTTGAGAGGCTAGTGTTGTAGATGTGTGTGCCTCCGTGCTTGGTTCCAGACATTTTTTAATATGTATGGTGCTAAGCGTTTAACACGAGACCTTGCTCATGCTAGGAGGCATTCTTTCACGGAGCTATACCATAGCCACTCAGTCTCTTAATCTGTGTGGTCGTCTCAAAGCTCGTCTCAAGGTAGACAGTGTATGGAGGGTAGAGAATGAATAACCCTGATGTCTTCAACCTCTGTCTCAGAGACGGTTGGGAATCTGATGCAGTTACTCCTCTGCCGTAAATGGGTTTCACCTCTTCTCCTGAATCTGCACTAAGGGCCTGGTGGCACCCAAAGGGGAGGACAGTGGTTAGAACGCGTGGTTGATGGAGGCTGTGGAGTCAGACTCCAGAGATGGCTTGAGCAGCAAACGTGTCAGCCATGGAAAGCCAATCACTTGTATCAGCAGGCCCGCGTGGGCCTGAGGAGAAAGTGCCATTGAAACAAAAAGTAAATGCCCCACATGCCTCTTGCTCTCCTTCTGTCTGAGAACTAATTCAGTTTTTAAACAGCAGGGCATTCTGACATCTGATTTGCATCCCATTCCCTGGTAGCAGTGTCATAACTTAAAACCCTGCCAAGGCAGATGTATGGGTCGTGTGTCAGGGAGCACGGAGGTGGCCGTTAATGCTATGAGTTATAACCCAGCGGTGCCCTGTCACAGTTAACTATGGGAGACTAGTGATAAATCCAGTGTTTCCAGGAGTTCTGGGGCAGGAGAGAAGAGGTTTGGTTTCTCATAGTTGATGTCCTTCTAAATCATCATGCTGGCATTTTATTTAGCAAGCATAAGGGATTCACTTTGGATGTGGGACCTGCATTCCTCACATTTTTCAGGGTTGCATTCTGCCAGCTATTTGACAGAGCATCTCTCAGCGTGAGGTGGGCCATTTGAACGTGGCAGGGCTGGGGTTTTCACAGTTGTTTAAATTCATTCAGAATCTGCACATGAGGCTGCCTGGGCTTTGGCATTGTTTAGTGTGCCGAAGAGGGGTCCTGGCTGCAAAGCCTGCTTGCTATCTTAAGCTGAGTTCCAGACGCCTCAGTTTCCTTGCCTGCAAAATGCAGGTTGCAATTCTTTTTCTGGTTGGCCAGTGTGGTCCCTACCTAAATCTGGTGGTGTGCTTGAGAGGTAATTTAAATCTGCAAAGTTCCTGAGGCTGTAAGTAATGGCCGGAAATCCTTGGGAACCTGAATTCTTCATTTGTCTCTTTGTGACAGTCATTCCCCTCCCTCTCTCCTTCCCTTCTAGGCTTGGCGCAGGGCAGGCAAACTGTCCCCCTCTGAGCTCCACCCTAGCTCACCGTCAGTTTCCTGAACCAGTGTCTCTCTGCCACACAGATACACAGTGGCACTTAGGTTTCCTTGCAGATTTGGAGAGCATCTCCAGCTAAGCTCTAAAGGTTATTAATATTTTACATGTTTCCTCTGCACTGGGAGGAGATGATTTGGATAAATCACTATTATGTCCCACTTTTCTGGCCGAGTCATAACTTCTTTTCTTGTTTAGCCCAGGAGCACTCTTGCCCCAACAACTAAGCAACTGTAGGCTGCTCACTCCTTTTGTCTGTACTTCTGCGTCTGACCCTGAGTTCTGTGGGGGATGTGGGGATGTGGCTTCTGAGACTGTCTGACAACACCCTCCCAGCACCCCTAGACATTCCTAAATGGAGTGTTTAAAATAAACAGTTTTAGAAAAACAGTACCTAATGAGTTGTAAAAATAAAATAACAGTGGCACTACTGAAACTTTGACTCATGATACAGACATTTAGGAAACCATGCTTATAAATGTTCTTATCACTACAGTTTCTTAGGGAACTTGGTTCTAATGTTTGGGTTTCAGTAAATGCACCATAAATCCCAACTCTAATTATATTAGATTGTTCTCACTAATGTTTACATTAACCACTATGGGTGGGAAGCTGTCCTATGTGGCGTGACTGGGAATCTAGACTCTGTGGCTTCAAGCTAGATCATTTGTATATTTGAGTATGTTTCTGCTGTGTCGTGGGATTCACACAGAGTGATAAATACCTAAGAGGGGGCTCAAAATCATCACTGTTACTCCTGTGACTCTAAAGTCATGGAGATGTGCATGAGCTGTGTATATGCTGTGTGCAAACATGGACTATATTTCCATAACATGGAAGATGCTGTGTGTTCCAAAGGAAGAAATATTCTGTAGCAGATGAAGACAAGCTGGACAGGGAGGAGGGCCATTGGTGGCCCTTCAAAATGCCCATAGAGCTCGGGTCACAGGGAGCCACAGGGCTTGTGCTTTCTGCTGATGATCTGACGACTGCCTTCGTCACTTCCCACGGGGCATGATGCTGTTAGCTGCTTGATGCTGTGCAAACAGAACTTTCTAAATATCTCCGGTTAAATAGTAAAACACCAGGAAAATACATGTAGTATGCAAAATACAAAAATAGAGACGTGCATATTGGTTTGATCTGTGCTGTTACTTTTCTCTGAAAATTGGTACTTTCAAATGGACACACAAAAGACAGCCTACAGCTGGCCAGTTCTGGATTATGCAGCCAATCTCATGTTAGCCGTGTGCATGCTCATTGGCCTCCAAAACGGTCTACTCGTAATGTTTTTCCAGGCTTATATCACATAAGGAAAGTTTGCTTGGATATAAGGTAAACCTTTCTCAATTATGTGGTCATTGTAAGCACATGGATGTTTACAAGTATAAGAAATCTCAAGAAGGAAATTAAAGTAACTCAGTTCTGCTCAAAGAAAGCCTTGTTAAGGGTGGGACATTGTAGTTCAGGTACAATTTTAACTTTTGAAAAGCTGTATAACATAGTCAATAACTCATGGTAAATATTTATTGGAAATAATATCAGCTACATGCCATTTTATTATAGGTATTACCATAATTTACTTAGCCACCTCTCTAGTAGCCAGTTGGCTGAATCTGTGTTTATTAATCACAAATACAGACATTGACAGCTGTGTGTAACATCTGTTCCTTTCCAATAGATTCTTAGTTGTAGATTTACTGGGCAAAGTTCCTGTTTAGATTCACGCTGTCTGATTCCAAAGTGCATTTTAAGCTTTTAAGTTTAAGCTGCTGAGTTTTTTGTCATGTGATATTTATGTTTTAGGTTCAAGGTGTGTCGGTGGTAGGGCTGCTGGTGAGCATAACTAGACACTGAGTTCTACTCTCAGTACCACACATGGAGCCAGAAAGGAGCACATAATACTCATATTTCTCCAGTTGCCCAGAAAGCAAGACTGATGCCCTTGAGGAGACATGCAGGCCTCTAGCGTTTATGTTTAATAAACACCCCTTCCGTGGGTCCCAGTGTCTTGAGAACCACAGTAGGCACTAAAAATACAGGATACAGGTCAGTTTCTTACCTGCAGGCTTTGGGGCCTTGTGACTGCCTTGCCAGCAGCCATTTGTCCCCTGCTGCTTAAGAAAGCAAGTGTAGGGTTTGTTAGAATGCTAGGGAAGGAAGGTGCTTCCTGCAGAGATAGAAAATAGCGTCTTTCCAGTTTCACACAGTTGAACAAAAACCTCTGAAGAGATCTCAGCCCATTAAAACTGTGTCATTCTTACCAGAAGAACGTTCCTCAGGTCTGTCCTGCCTAATACCGAGGTCCCTCTCACAGTTATTGTAGGGGAAAAAGAAAAAGACGATTGTTGGCTGGTTTCTGTTTCAGGTGTGTGAATATCCGGATGGAACCAAGTCTTTGAAACTGGGAGACTTTGGGCTGGCGACAGTGGTTGAAGGCCCTTTGTACACAGTCTGTGGCACACCGACCTACGTGGCGCCAGAGATCATTGCTGAAACAGGGTGAGATTCTGTTGGTCTCGGGTCATGCTTTGACATCGGTGAGAAAGGCTCGTGGTTGTCCCTGCTGCTGTTGTGCTCATCGTGTCCTGTCAAGAAAGCCAGGGAAGCAGAGAGAGATGTGCCCTGAACCATAGCCTTGATGTTAAGGAACAGCTTATTCTTATCTGGCTCAGAGAAGTACAGAGGGCCTGTACTTCTGCCCTCTGGTCAGTGTTGGGGGTGGGGGGACAGTGGTCACTGATTGTGCTTAGACTAAGAGAAAACAGATGGCTTTTTAGAGGACAACTCCTGTGTGACAGTGTCATCTCCCTCGCTGTCTTGCAGCTATGGCCTGAAGGTGGATGTTTGGGCTGCCGGCGTGATTACGTACATCCTTCTCTGTGGATTCCCACCATTCCGGAGGTAACTGTATTTGAATTATAAATTCCCAGACACTTAAACCTGGCAGAAAAGACCCCAAGCTGGTGAATACAATTCCCAGTTTAAAACAATAGAAATATTCCTTTCACTGCTGATCTTAATTTACAGCCTGCCCATGGAAACTCATGTTTGTTCTTTGGGGTTTTGATACAAGCAGACAAGTATGTGTGCACGTACGCACGCACGCACATACCCATGCACACTGTGTTTGAACACAGGAATCATTCTTAAATTCGCTGCTCTGAGCTGTACCCAGCCTGACCATGCTTCAGATATGAGGCCTTTGTGTGTGACCCTCTGAGCTCTCTGACTGTCCTTCATCAAATATGTTCCTAACACAGTCTCAGACTTTGCAGTGTTTTACTCATTTTAAAGAAGGGTAGGATTACCCTTGAGTAGAAACCAGAATCATCTAGGTGTCCTCTTTCAAGTTCTTGGTGTAGGTATTACTTTTAAACTACTTGATTTTTAAATAGAATTTCTAAAGCACCCAACTTGCTTCTTGTAACACCAGGAACTCATTATGATAGTTTTAGTCTTACAAGTAGCATTTATTACCCGAAAGGTGGAGTTACAGAAATTTTTGTCACCGGTCCGGTCAGACTGGAAACGAACAGGGGACACTTGGCAGTTAACAGCATGGCCTGGTGGGAGCACAGGTGATCACAGACATGCTTCAGACTGGCCAGCCCAGCATCTGTCCAGGGCTGAGCCGGCCACATAGTCCACAGCTCTTCTTTTGGTCTGTCCCATCACCTGTCCTGGGCAGATGAAGAGCATCTGGTGCATGGTTGCTTTTCTGCCTTTCATTTCTGTCCTCCTTCACCTGTTTGGTGAGTAGCTACCTACGGTGAGCCAGGTGCTCTGTAAGTGATGGCGTCAGCGCTGTCCTCAGATCTGTGACTTTAGTCCCATTCTGGCTACCGTGAGGAACTGCCACAAGCTATGTGACTTAGACTGGAAACGTATTCTCACAGTGCTAGAGGCTGGGAATCTCAAGACCAGAGTACCCGTAGGCTTGGTGTCTGGTAAGGGCCTACTTCCTGGCCCATGTACAGCCTTCTTCTCTGTGCAAATTCACACAGCAGAAGGGGAAAGGGCGCCCTCTAGGAACTTCTTGCTGTCTAACCTTTTTTTGTAAATGGTGTGGTTTGAGCTCAAGACATTATGCTAGGCAAGCACTCTACCACTGGGCTCTGTCTTCTCTAGGGACTTTGACAGGAACACTGCAGTTGTATTCATGAAGGCTCTGCCCTGGTAACTCCAGCTGTGTCCCAGAAGCCACCTCCCAATGCCATCCAAGTGAGGATTAAGTTTTCCCATAAAGAGTTCTGAGGTGTACACAATAGTGTTCAAGTGTGTTATGGTCAGCAAATGAAAAATAGTTTTCTCTTTTCTCTCCTAACATTTGTTATGAAAACTCCCCCAAAAGAAAGCTTTTTTTTTTCTTTAGGTCCTCACCTTTTCGGTTTGTGAGCAGAATGACACAGACATGTTAGTCTACTTTTGAAGAGCTTTGGTATAGAGGCGTGGAGCTCAAGAGTGATGACCCAGAACAGTTGGCTGGGCATGCTTGGTTGACTGGCTCAGAGGAAATTAACTGAAGGACTCTATTATGAAAGCAGAAAGAAGGAAGCAGAGGTGGATCATGTGTGGTCTTTTTTTCTTTTTCTTTTTTTTTACAGCCACTTGGGGCCTGGGCTGATTTTGGTGATTTTTGTGGGGAGCTAGTCAAACGTAGAAGGATGGTGTGTTTTGCTAACAGGTGCTATCTGGACCAGTTAGTTAACATGGAGTTCCTCTTCCTGACTTATCAAAGTTGGCATCCAGGAAAAGGGATTTGAGGGATCAGCATTAGGGAATGTATGCTCACAACTCCCTCTAGTGTTTATAGTTTCTAATTCAGCCAGGGAGAGTTGTATCTTGATTGTTATGGAAATGGGTTCAAGTTGGATGTCACTGTCACTGTCACTGGAGGACAGCAACAGCAGCATTTGAGATGGAGGGGCGAGTAGGGTTCATTAGAATAGCCCACTACATTCTGAAGGGGCTGCCTAGTGTCAAAAGCCCCTAGCTATCCCACTTTTAAGAAAGTGCTTTTCCTCTTTGCTAGTGAGATCATCTGTGACATGAAACACCTCTTCTAGAAGCATCTTAGAAGCACAGACATGTTTGGCAGATTTTGCAGCCTACTGTCATATAAAAACATATGGAAAATTAAGGATGTGACAGTTTAAATGATCATTGTCTGGTATGCATGGCATAAAGTTGTGTATCTAGAACGGGGGAGGGGGCTCACTTGGTTGGTAGAGAGAGGGCTTTGTAACCCATGAAGCCCTTGGTTCAATCCCCAGCACTACATAAAACCCAAGATAACAGTGCATGCCCATAATCCCAGCACACAGGACATGCGATCAAGGAAGACACGAAATTCAAACATATCCTTGGCTATGTAGCAAGTTTGAAGCCACGCTGGGCTGCATGAGACCCTGTCTCAGAATAAAATAAAATCAACTATAAACATGGACATATGTATGTACATTAAAGTCCTTTAAGCAAGCACTTCAAAGGGCTTTCTGTGTCTTATACAACATATGCGTTTAACTGAAAAAACCTCTGAACTGAAATTGTTGTTGGAATTTACTTTCAGTGACTCTAATGACATTGTCTTTCTTCTTTCAAGACTTTGGGTTTTAGTCCTAGATTGACTTCTTTTTTCTTGTTATCGCTCTTAGTTCTTGAGCTTGATTCCCCACACCCCAACATCAGACTCGCCATCCCCAAGTTCCCTAAGCAAAAGTGGGTTGTGGCTGCTGCGTATAGTGTTTGTAAGATTAGTCCGAGATTCTTGACTCATTGTCTCTTAGCCCTCATCCCTAGTTCCCTGTCACCCTTTCATGCCGGGTGCTGCTTGTGAAATCTCTTACCAGCATCACCAGGGTGTCCTTTCTGAACCTTTCATCATTTGTCACTGAAAGAGAGTTCGTTTCCTTAATCGACTGTTTACACTCGCAGCCACCTCACCTAAGGGATATATTGTCTTAGAATAAAAAAGCACCCTAAAGCAGCTCCACCAGACCTTGGAGTGTAAATGTGATGATAAATCCGGTGTGGATTCAAGCAGAGCAGCTGTTTGCACCTGACTACCAGGCACGCTGGTGTCTGCAGGGCTGTTCTTCCACTGCGGGCATAACCCTGACAGCTGACAGTGTTGGTCCTTGGTACCACTCTGTTTAGCGCTCTGGGGTCCCTTTTGCTGAGTTGGGCTGTATTGCTTGGAGTCCTTGGACAGCTGCACATGGTTGTTGCGGATGGACTCCAGCTTTTAGCTCTGTATTGGCTAAATGATCAAGTCGATATAAGGGGAGATGAATATAGTAATAATAGGAACAATTTTGAGAGTTGCTAGAACTATATATGTTGTCTTCTAGCATTGCCTGGTATGCTGATGCTTCTGAAGGCTTCTGTAAAGTTACACTGTGTTCTCCTGTGTGTTTTTCACTCATTGTGAAGAGCACTGGACTGATTAGAGGAAGGTAAAGGAGAGAGACCCTTGTGCTCTCTCAGAGAAATTTGTGTGCACTCTTTCCAGGCGAGCAATGATGACCTCTTGCTTTGCCTGGTTGTCCTTGGCCCTTTGCCTCGCCTGGTTGTCCCACCTGGCCCTGCTCCTCAGTGTACCGTTGTCCTTCTGTGTGAACCAGCGGGTGTCTGTCATTAGACAGACCTAGCTGCTGTTCCTAGACACCGCCCTAAGTGGATCTGTTTCTAAGGACTCTATGTTTTGTGCCTTTTGAGAAGGTAGGGATCAAAACCCTAAAAACTTGGCGGAGAAATTCTAAGAAATCTGCACTTTTCCCAGGTAATTCCTGACTTGTACTCCTGGATTTTAGTTTTAATCCTAACAGTTTTCTGTTGGGGCCTGTGGTGGAACACAAAAGCTAAACATGTTTCCTGTTTCTGGTCCTGTGTTCACCACGTGTGGGAACGTCCCACATCCCAAATCTTTCCCTCGGGTGCTCTCACATTTCACTGGCGCCCTCCGTCGCCATCGAGTGCCAGGTGTCTGTCTGGGGAAGGGCCAAGCGGCACGGTTGGAGGGAGACGCCCCCTTGAGAGCACCAAGGGCGCTTTGCCGTGATTGAGCCAGCCTCGCTGGCATCTTTGAATGTGTTCTTTCTCCGAGACTGAGCACAAAGGAAAGTTATTGTGGTGGGGAGCAAATTAACGTCATGAATTTTTAAATCTAGGTTCTGAAGTCCATATGATTTTCAATAATCTCGTGTTTTATTGAAAAAGTGGAAGAAAAAAGGTTGACTAGAAGCTGCTTTTTTACTGTTAGAGGCATGAGAGATAGTAAAAATGCCATTCTTAATCCAGGGTTTCCACTTGTAATTTCGGGGTTTTGTTGTGATATATGTATATGTAAATATACATATAGGAGATCTCTACACACACACACACACACACACACACACACACACACACACACACGTTTTCTCTCTGAGATGGGCTCTGGCTATGTGTCTTTGGTTGGTCTTGAACCTCTAGGCTCAATTGATAATATTGCCTCAGCTCTCCAAGCATCTGGTACTGCAGGACATGCCCTGACACCTGGCTTCCATTTTAACCAGATAAGCACACTTTGTGGGGCATTAAGTACACTGCCATTCACACTGTCCACTACTGGAACGTTTTTTCATCTTTCTAAACTGAAACTCAGCTTGAGTCATTTTCTGTCTCTCTGGTTCCCAGGCCTAGGAAGTGTCCTTTGGCTCATTGTCCAGAAGGAAAATTCTGTTGTCACTGTGCAGCTATGACACACAGCTAAGCAATGAAACACCCAAGCCAAAGAGTCTCGACTCCTTCCTGTTGCTCAGAGCCTCTTAGTGACTCTGTTTCTTTTCCGTTTCTTTGTCACCAGTGAGAGCAATCTCCAGGAAGATCTCTTTGACCAGATCTTGGCTGGGAAGCTGGAGTTTCCAGCCCCCTACTGGGACAACATTACAGATTCTGCCAAGGTACTGTGCAGGTTTCTTCCTGTACACACTGCAGGCTCTTGCCCATGGGGCCGAGCAGCCCAGCTCGGGCTCCAGAGACTGACTTTAATGTAGATGTACCGGGTCGTGCAGACTCTGAAGCCCCTGACTGGAGTGAATCCTGGACTACAGGTCCCTCCCTCCATCTCTCTCCTCTAATCTCTATAGACATCCACACTTGTATTTTTTAAAGAAGTATATGTTGGGCATCAGAGTTAATAAACTAAGTGATGAAAGGGAAAATAATACAATATTCTACTGTGGATTGAAGATAAAGACCCAGAAGTCTAAGAGAGCCAGTCTCAGTGCCTATGGGGTCAAGGGAGAGTTCTCACTCCCTGTGCTGACACAGGTGGTAATCTGTACCGTGTCTCACAGCACTGAAAGTGGGTGGTGGGCTTCATGCTCCAGTGGCTGAGTTGCCGTGTTAGCTTTTGATTTCTGTATTTATGCTGGAATCACCCTCTTTCTCTTCTGTGGTCTTCTTCCCCTCCCCTCCCCTTCCCTTTCTCCCCTTTCTAGGAATTAATCAGTCAAATGCTTCAGGTAAACGTTGAAGCTCGCTGTACCGCAGGAGAAATTCTGAGTCACCCCTGGGTGTCTGTAAGTACCCACATTCCCAGGGAATGAGTGAGTCTATGTTGCATGCTCAGCTGCGTGCTTCCTTGCTGTGTTTCACACAGACATAGTTGGGCATTCAAATTCTATAACAGATAAAATGTCCATCCTAACGATCAAGTAGCACGGGAGAAGACGGCTGATACCAGAGTTCTCCTTCTGCTCAGTGAGCAACCTGGACAGTCTGTCTTTGCTGGATCTCAGCTTACTCATCTGCGAAGTGATGGGGTTGGCTGTGATGCTCCTTAAGGATTCCTTCTGCGGCTTCTTTCTAGTTGTGAGGTTTGTGTTTCCCTGAGAGATGAGCATGTTTCAGACTGACCTTTGTGTCCTCATGGCATGCAGTCCTCCTGTGAACTCGGAGAGGACCTGGGGTGATGACCTCATGCTCCCTGAGTAAACACAGCGGACTCGAGGGCAGCTCCTGAATATTGACTTAACTAGCCACAGGGCTGCACCGTCTCCATCCTGCAAACTGCTGCCCTGGGTCCAGACTTCGTAGAGGAGGCACCCACCACATCTCTTTGTGAGAATTAGGACTATCAGCTGAGTGACTTTTGTGTTGGGGATTGAGCTTGGGCCTTGAGCACGTAGCATGTTCTCTGCCACTTTTTTTTAACTTAAGAAATGGGTCAGATAGCCAGGTGGTGGTGGTGCATGCCTTTAATTCCAGCACTGAGAAGGCAGAGGCAGGCAGATCTCTGTGAATTCGAGGACAGTCTGGTCTACAGAGCAAGTGCCTAGACAGTCAGAGCTACACAGAGAAACCATGTCAAAAAAAAAAGGGTCAAACTTTAGGCTCAAGCCACATTCCCTTCTCAAGCCGCCATGTAAGCAGAGCCACAGCAAGGCGTCACCACACCAGACAGAGATTCTTGATTGTAGTGATAAACTGTTGATTTGTATGTTTCCATGGATGACTTGTATTATGTTGCCTTGGGAGAGAGCTTCAGAAACCTAAACAGTGCCACCCTTTCTTTCAGTGAAGACCTGTGCCTTCCCCTGTTCAGAGGTGGGGTAGGTGGTGTAGTCTTCCTGAAGGCGTGAGACATGGCACTGCGGAGTGACAAACAGAATTGTGTGTGTCTGGCCCACTGTGGGTGGAGTCCAGGATCTCACACTTGCTAGTCCACAGCGCTGTGCAGAGGCAACAATGACGCTGGAAAGAGCTGAGCATCTTCCTTACGTTAGGAGGAGGCTGGGGAAGTTGGTAACTGTGCAACAGTTGGTGTTAGGGATCCAGAGTCAACTGTGCTTTCCTTCTCTGTAGGATGACACACCCCAGGAGAACAATATGCGAGCTGAGGTGACAGGTAAACTGAAGCAGCACTTCAGTAATGCGCTCCCCAAACAGAACAGCACCGCCACTGGGGTCTCCGTCATCATGGTAAGTGGGATGCAGAGCCCCGCCTCAGAGCTGGGGCATCCGGCCTGGCTGCTGAGCTGGAGTTGTCTTCTGAGCTAGACAGCCAGGGTTCCACTCGTGGAAGCTGTCTCCCATGCCCCTGTTTCATGGGAGGATGGACTGGCATGTGAGGGTGCTTCCGCCCTGCTCCCTGGACTCTGCATGGCAGGCTGGAGGCTGCTCGGTGACATGGAGCTGCAGTGATAGGTCGGTACAAGGGAACTCCAGGGCTGGGGCTTCCTGGGCAGCTGCCTCCTGTCTCAGACCTGCTGTGTCATCTAGGGAGATGACAGCCGTCCCCGGCAGGACGGGCTGAGTAAGGCCCTGCCTCCTCCAGGCTTATGATTGTGTGACATGGGATTTCTCTGGGACTTGGGATATGAAGCAGCCAAGTTAACAAATTTCACTTTTTAAAGACAATGTTTGGTTAAAAAAAAAAAAAAGCTGGTGTATTTTTAAAGCCATAGAAGAATTCTTTTTTTTTTAAATTAGTTTTTCATGGTTAAAATTTCATATAAAAAAGTAGCAGTGATCCTATTTTTGCACTTCTTCCAAAAATACTTAGGGTCACATATATCAGTATTTAAACACAGAAAATGAAAAGTAACATTAAGGAAAACCAAAAGATGTAGGACAGAAAAAGAAAACACAAGCAAGGTCAGTGCTTGCCGGCCCCGGCTGCCTGGGCTGGGCTCTCGTGAAGTGCGGCTGGAGTTTCTGTTCTGAGCATCTCCTGCCTGCTAGTCAGCCAGGCCATGTCCAACAGCGGCTGCGCTGTCCTCCTGCCCATCACGGCACCCAGCAGGGCCAGGGGCGTGGACTCTGGGACAGGTGCCTGCGAGGGGCTGCTGCAGCCGCGCCGTCACTCCTAGAGCAGCCTGGGAAAGGCTCTCTGTGTTCCTCCCCACACTACAGGGAAATCCTGCTCGATGCAGTCTAGGAATGTCAGGAAAATGCGGGAGTCCAGGAAGGCAGACCGCGCATACCCTATGGACGCAAGTGCTCTACAGTCCCGGCACCTGCTAGTCTGTGGTGCGGTTCCTTTCCTCCAGGGAGGCTTAGTTCGTTTGGTCGGCTCCCTCCAGTCCTCCCTCTGCCCCAGGCTGGGGATTGTGCTCCCTTTCTTCCTGCGCACAGCCTGAGTCTGCGGGACTCTGGGGAGCTCCATGTTGAACACAGAAGAGTGCGGTTGTATCTTTCCTTTGCACTGTAGCAGTGTTTTACTGAAAGCCCGAGGACGTCTGAGATGCCACACAATCCCAGCCTCGCTGAGTTAAAAAGAGCCATCACTGCTGGGCTTGCGGCAGGAGGGCCCTTCCCAGGGAGTGCACTTTGAGACCTATCCCATGAGCAGCAGAGCCCTGGGTGCCACACACGGTGCGTTGGCAGCTTCTGTGCTCATGGAAAGGGAAACCAGTAAGCGTCCGTGTTTGTGCTAGGGTGCAGCCGAGTGTGTGCTCAGCATTTGTATAATCCCAACAACCTCCCAAAGTACACACAGTCCGCATCTAGTAAAGAGTCCTTAAGAAAATCCGTCGGAATCAAAATTCCATATCATATGTTAGTTAGCTTTTTAATCTTCTAAGATGTGGAAGCTTTGCAGCCCTGTAGGAGATCTTATCCGGTGAGTCACTGCAATCTGTGGCCATAGGCCTGGGCCCTGCCTCCTGACCCGGAAGCTCAGCTGAGGTTCTAGAATGATTGACAGTTCTCCCTTGGGCCAAGTGTAAGCTGTGTGTGTAATGGGCAATAGTGCAGAGAACCTCTCCTCACTTACAAATAGCAGTTTCCCCCTTGCCAATGGAGTTAGGTGTCAAACCCTCAAGTTTTAACGGGGTGTTCCTGTGAAAGAACAACCCTTAAGGAGGTGACTGTATAAAAATTGCATGTTGTTGTATGTGCAGGAGCCAGATGGCACATGTTGGTGGCATCCAGCTAACCCGGGTTGTCTGCATAAGCCCACAGATTGTGAGCACTGAATCGCTGCTGGTGGTTTCACTGCATTCAGAATCTACTGGAGAGATGACTGCGTCTTTTTTTTTTTCTGGCAGTCTCAGTTCTCAGTAGTTCAAAAACCAGGCTGCCAAATTTGACTTGTACCCAAAAGTAGCTGAAGGCTTCTTGCTTATCCTCCCCAGAGGCAGGGCAGGGCAGGGCAGGGCGTTTGGGACACTTCTGAGCCCCTTCATATTATGACTGTTCATTGGGGCCTCCCATCCCTAATGACGATTTTAAATTATTTTTATATTTAGAATAACCACGGAATGTCTGTCTCTGGCATTAATTTGCCATTACTGGACAAATGGTCTCAGTAGCAGAAGCGCAGGGTATCCAGTGGCTGACGTGTTAATAACCTCTGTGCTTAACTTAAAGATAGGGCCTTGCTCGTGTCACCCAGCGTTCTCCTCAAGGCTCCAGGGGAAATGTGGTGGGGTGGGGCTGGCTAGCAGAGGTGAGAGAACCCAAAGCTGAGCTGTTGTCTGCATTTCATTTGACAGTTTGATTCGACAGTCTGAGACACCTCACAGAGTTCGCTCTTTCCCCAGTTATGACTATGGGAAACCCCGAAGCAGATTCTGGTATTCAACAAAGTGCTCATGGGAGCCACACCTAATGCTCAGCCCCTCTTCCAACCGCATGCTTGTCTTCCACTTCTGACCCTCAGCTTCCTGCTGCTACGGGTCCTCTGAACCACTGACCTCCTTCTGGCCAGCCCGGCCCAGCCCAGCACAGCCCAGCACATGAGCTTCCTGTTAGATTCCCCAGCTTGTCAGTCTGTTTCCTGCTCAGTGGGGCTCCAGCCGGTCTGTGCCCGCTCTCCATAGGTGACAGCTCTGCCCTGCTCCGTCTCCATAGGTGAAGGGCATCTCTGGAAATGATGTATCTTCGTGCTTTGTCAAGAGCTGCATTTCTATCCGTGAGGCAGTGTGTGTCGGCCAGTCTTCAGGATAAGAACATGATCATACTGGAGAGAGTTTCAGAGAGGCTGATGGCTCTGGGTCACACTCTGGCTCTCCCTGACAGTCCTCAGCATGCATAGGAGGTTGCTTCTTTGTCCCAGGGAGGGACAAAGCCTCAGAGACCAGAAGGGGCCATCTTGTGGCAGAGAAAGGAATGACAAGACATCTCTCCCATGGTCTTGCAGAGGGAGAAATGTCAAAGTCAGACTCCACCCCAGGGGGTGCTCTGCTCACTTTTAGGGACACGGGAGTGATGGTGGTGGTTTGGGGTGATTTCCTGTTTAAGACAGACAAGACTGAATGGTGTTGCTTCTGTTGAAAGTAAGTCTAGTTTCTGTCCCTGCTTCTCTCCTTTCTTGCTGCCGCCCCACCCCCTGCCTAGGTCCAAGGCCATGGTATGTACTAACTGCACCGCGCTTCCTCTGCCAAGCCCCCTCTCGTTCTTTTGGCGGAAGAGAAGAGGGGAAACAGCCAGGGGTTGTGGCTTTCTTCTCCCCAGGAGAAAGTCTGCAATAGAAGCGTTGTCCGTCTCGTGGGTGGTGGTGGGCTGAGTGGCTGGCCCTGTCCCGGCAGCAGCTCAGGAGCGAAGTTTCAGGCCAGGCTCTCCCCACTGTCCTCAGCTGGAGGCTGGCAGGAGCCGTGAGGAGCAGGGCCCCAGGGCCACCTGCCTGTCTGTCTTGGGAAACCTTGCCGCTTGTTCCCCCTGCTTTTTAAAATCTGTGTTATTGTACCAGAGGAATCAATGGTACATTCCCCCGCCTAGGGGAATTAGACTGCAGATGCCTCCCGGTTCTTACATCTTACAGCGGAAGGTGGTACCCAAGGCCTGCAGTCTCTCCACCCTTAGTAAACCCAGTGGCATGGCAGGTGCTGGCTCCCAGGGCACACAGGCTCCAGTAAGCAGAGAAGACCGCGTGCCTGGGTATCCCCAGGATGGTTCAGAAGGCCAGTGCTCTCCTCACGGGGCCTGCGTGCCCTTGAGGAGGTGAGTCGATGATCCAGCAGGCACAGGCTCCCTCATAGGGAGGGGTAGGCAGACACACCATGGAGGATCCACCCCAGTGGATCCCTGGGCATATTACAGATGCCCTTTGGTTGTCAGGGCACTGTTGTTTCTGACATGTGAGGACCACTTATCTGTGACAAGAACTTTCTTTAGATAAATGTGCTAGCGTACCAGAGCCGCTGGCAGAGACTGGCTACTGTCCCATCACTCCTGGGTCTGGGTGTGAGTGAGACTCAGAATTCAGGTGCAGCCACCGCAGGGACCCCTTCCTCTCGGCGGTGGCCCCTTCCTCCTTGTGCAGGCCCGCCGGGTCTCCTCAGCTGCCAGCCCGGGCTGTGACGGGGCAGAGGAGGCGAGGGGCGGCTGCGGGATGGAGTGGGGTTGGGACGCAGTTTCCTTTAGACCTGAGCTAGAGGCCTGGAGTGTTTCTCCTCTTCTGCTTCCGTGGCCGGTGCATGCTGTGTGTTGCTTTCCGGTTGGTCCCGGGGGTGTGGTGATGGAGCAGGCCCGGGTAATGTGTTGTCTCTGCTGCTCTCTCCCCAGAACACGGCTCTAGATAAAGAGGGGCAGATTTTCTGCAGCAAGCACTGTCAAGACGGCAGCAAACCAGCGAGGGAGCAGACCGCGGGGACAGTCCCTCCCTCAGCCCAGGAGGCCCCTCCCCCGCAAGAGTCTCCCAAGCGCCCTCGTCCTCCAGCCGCCTCAGGCTGTGATCTGGCAGGGACCTGGCGCCGCCACCGAGACTGAACTCTGTAGGCAGGCCCGAAGCTGCCGGGGTCAGCCGTGCCAGGAAGGCCGCCCTCCCTCCCTCCCACCAGGCCTCACCGTCTCCTCGCTGAAGGAGCCTCCCTTTCCTCCCTGCGGCTGTGACAGTCTGTTGGCATGTTCTGTCACTGTCTGGGAGCAGGACTGGGGCATCCTGGAGCCGGTGCTCAGCGTAGCCTCATGTATTTTGGGCTCTGCTGGCATGTCAGCTGTGGGGACACACTTGGAGTGACTCATTTAAATCCTCAGTGTTTCTACCCAGAGAATGCAACCTTTATTGGGAATTACATTCTTTTTACAGAAATGCATTGGATGGACTAGGAGTCTCCTATTGAGGGATACTCCAAGTGCTCCCTTCTCACGGGGATGTCCTCTGAGAGGCAACATGACCTCTTCCTCTTCTAGGGGACCTGAGGCTCCCAGATTCTGAATAGAAGAAGAAATGAGCCCCTGAGAAGACTGTGTGGTCATCACCCTCCGATTCCTGGTGTAGGGGATGCTTTCTGACGCCCCAGGAAGCAGCAGCTCCCGCCCCAGTCTGGGGTGCAGGGCTCACAGACCTAGCGGACATGCCCTCAGTTTCCCCACCTTCCTGTGTTGAGAAATGCTATGAAGTTGGCCTGTGGACTTGGCAATGGAAAGTGCAGCAGCTCTTGGCAGAGCAGGATCAGCCCGGCTGAGTCGCCAACAGGGCCTCCTCTCCCCTGCTCTCTGACAGGAGCAGGCCGAAAGCCATGGCAGGTCTGCTGAGACCCAGCGGGGACTGGGGTGCACGGTGCTCCTTGAATGTCCTGTGACCAACCTTCTGGAAGGCTGCTGGCAGTTTTTCCTTTTTTTCCACCGCCCTACTCTTTTTAATAATTGTATATAACTATGTATTTGTTTGGCCTTCTTGTCTTCTAAACGAGTGGGCCCTACAGTTCTCTCTGACTGTTAGATTTTGCCTTCTCCAAGTATCCCCAACCTGCAATAAACTCTTTCCTCTTCGGAAAAGCTGTGGGGTGGGCAGAGGTTTCTGTGTGGCTGCTTTGGAAAGTGAGTATGATCAGAGCTCCTCTCCTTGGTCCAGGCCCTCAGGGCCTGTGCCTGGGGTCATGACTGGAAGAGCACACAGATCTTTGCCTTGGTTAAACGTGTGTGAGCACAGGTGCTGGGACTCGGACTCATGGCCCAGGCACCAGATAAGCAAGTTGTTCCGAGAGGGCTAGGGACGCTCACAGCTAAGTGGGGCTCACAGAAAGTAGGCTAGACCCGCTCCTCCCGTGCCTGTCCTGGCTGGGCCCTGCTCCTCTCTGACTTGTAAGCCACAAGTTTCCCTATAAAGCTCTGCTTTCTGCTTGTGACCTTGTTCATCTGTGCCTCCTGTTACCCAGAGCTGTTTCTGTCACCTTGGAGCTTACAACTGTCCAGCTTGAAAGCCCTGTGGCCCTGTGTTCCACCCAAAGCCATGGCTGTAGCAGACACAGGAGGAGGAAGCGTTCAAGAACGCTGTGAGATGCAGGGTTAGAACACTTTGCACGTGTCTCTTCACTAACTGGGTAAAGAGCCCTTTTTAAAAAGATGTATTCTTAACTATGTGTACGCCTGCCTGTGCGCATGTAAATGCATTATCCATTGAGACCAGAAGAGGGCAGCAAACCTGCAGCTGGGTCTAGGCAGTTGTGAATGGGCAGACATGGTCCTCTGGAAGAACAGGGCTTTTAACCTCTCAGCCATCTTCCCAGCGCCAAGAACAAGATTTTTCATAGCCGTGTGGCCGTTTCATTTTCAGAGAGGGGAAGAGCTAATGCAGGAGGAAACCAGGACAGGTGGTGGGGCAGGGAAGAGCCCTGGTTCAGCATGTGTCCTTCTGTTTGTCCCTGTGGGAGGCAGACAGAGGCAGTGACTTCTGCACGGTCCTTTCCTGGTGGGTAGCTAGCTTGGCCAGGACAGAGGAGCCACAGGAGGGCATGGCTGTGGTTGTGCCCCACTGCTAAGCTGGTGTCTATCCAGGCAGCAGGACTGGGGAAGGCTGGTGTCCCGAGCAAAGGTTCGAGACACAGTTCCTCTGTGCATTTGCTACATATACTTAGGAGCTGTAATTCTGTCTCATGACCCAAATTAAATTCAGGTTCTTTATTTCCGGCTGCTCAGAGCCTGTGGAGAGAACGCAGGTGCCTGTTCAGACTGCGGAGAGAGGTTAAACTTGGAATTGTGGCAGAGAAATGTACTTGATGGCCCCCACAGCTGAGGGGTCTCCATGTCTCTCTGTCTCTGCCTCCCTTTAAAAAGGTGATGGGTATGGAAATGTGTTACATGTGTTCATTAAATGCATTTGATAAAACTCCTAGGATCTTCTCATGGCTGAGATGGTAATCTGTGACTTAGGAGATGGGACAGTGTGGGATGAAGTGACCATATTGAAGGAAAACATGCTGATTAATGTCTTGTAGAAAATGCTAGAGCAGTTTACCATCCCGTGGAAATATATAGAATATACCACTCGTGTTAACATTTTCATAATACCACATTAAAAATTTTAAAAGGAACAGGTAAAGTACATCTTGTGGCATATTTTGTTTAACCTCACATCTACACATATCCAAAGTATTATGTCCATACGTAGTCAGTATCAACAAAAGCTGGGTGATATTTTACCTTCTTGTATGCGGAGTCTGAAGTCTGGAGTATGTTTATATTCACAGTGCATCCCAATCTGGACACCGGAGCATTTTAAGTGTTTAAAAGCCACATGGGCCTAGCAGTTGCCACAATACAGTTCAGCTCCCCAGATAAGACATGACTCTTAATATTAGGTGAATCTGTTTTGTTTTCAAATGATGTGTATGACAGAGAGAAGGCGCCCTGTCATTTTAAGTGAAACAGGTTCGTGGGAAGTGATGGCAGAGGGTTAAAGCTCTGTAGTGTCAAACTAAAATGTGCACTCGCGACTGTACTTCAGGTGGTGCTAGGCATGGAAACGGCTGTCACCGACTCCCCAGGAACCGGACACTGCTTACTGCAAAGCAGTCTTCACCCGTCGCCTCAGGAAAATGTGCAGGGCTGGGGTATGCTCGCTGGGCAGCCCTGTCAGAGCAGCCCTGTTGTGGGACTTTGGAGTAGCCTGCGGATGAGAGCACTGCCCAGCTAGGTGGGCTCCGAAGCGTGGGTACCCAAGGATTGCCAGGAGAATCAACAAAACCCCGATGAGCCGGAACTCCCTGGGTGTGAGCCTGAGTGCAGAAAGTAGAGTCAGGTTCCAGCCAAGAGAGATTCTAACAGTGGCAGGGCAGCTGCTTTCTGAAGGATTCAAACTGGAAATGCCCACAAGTTGGGTAATAGTCCCGCACGTACACAGTGCGCTTGTGCTGGAGTGTTGCGTATCTAAGGGGAAGAACAGCAAGTGGGTGGAGCCACACACACCCCCCACCCCACCCCCACCCCCGCCAAGCTGCTAAACCTGGCTGGGCTGGCAGGGCTGGGCCTTTGCTGCTCCACAGGCCTCCTGCGGGGCAGGGGTCCGGATGTCTGCATCTCATGGGCTCTGGCAAGCTCGATTGGCAACCTGTCAGCGTGGATGGAGGCTGAAGCTGGATCTGAGCTTCCTTTCCCAAGCCATCCAAGTCCACAGCTGTGGAGCAGCCGCGGCTTCCTCCAGGTATGCACAAACACTGGTCCTGCCCAACTCCCCCAAAAGCTTAGCTTTGGCAAGGAAAAAGATCCTGAACTTGAGATGAAACGATCCACTTCCTGTTTCAGGTATGATCGTGGAGGCTCCAAGTGGCCCCCAGTGCGCCATCTTTCTTCCCTGACCAAAGACGCTGGCCTGTCTCAGAGGATATGGTCTGCCTATTCATGAGAGCGCTCCATGTGCTGTGTTCTGATAAATTCCTGTTTGTGGTTGTGGTAGCTAGGGGCAGAAGTGAGTAGCGTTGTAAACAAGCTGGTGAGATGTCACAGACTCATAGCCCCAGCGTTAAGCCCAGGAGCTGGACAGTGGCAAGACTGGTCTCAGATGTAAGTTTAGCTTTGGGTTTTTTATTTATTTTTATTTATCATTTATTTATTCTGTTTGACAGACTAGAGAGAGAGAGAGAGAGAGAGAAACATGTTCAGCATTAATTTTTAGATGGGTCTGAAGCCAATCATGGGGATGTATTTCTATAATCCTGGGACTGGGGAAACTAAGGCAGGAGAATATTATTTGAGGCCAGCCTGAGCTCTACATAGTGAAACCTTGTTTCAAGGGTAGAAAAAATATTTTAAAATTGAGTCCATGGCACTTTTCTTGGTTCCTTGTAATCATAAGATCATCATGTAAAAACTCAAAGTTACCATGCATAGTGGCACATGCCTTTAATCCCAGCACTCAGGAGGTAGAGGCTGGCAGATCTCTGAGTTCGAGGCCAGCTCTCCATCTACTGCTTTTAACATTGCTGCTTTGACTGGAAAGAGTGGGTGGAGCCTTCATGAATACAGGAAATCCTTGGCTATTTCCTGTAACTCTGACTTGTATGGCTGATGCTACCTTGCTATTCTTGACAGCACAGGAGGAAGACAGCAGTGACAGCTTCATGCGGCCAGTCCCATTAGCCTTGGCTCTGCTGAGTGAAAAGGGACAGTGAGTTACCCATTTCCTGAAACCCTCCTGGTTCCCATGGAGGCAGGGTAGTCTCTTGGATCACCTTCTGTTGGCGGACTTTTCTGTCCCACCAGCCAGTTCCAAATAACCAGAGACTTAATATTAATTATAAATGCTCAGCTGATGGCTCAGGCTTGTTACTAGCCAGTGCTAACATTCTAAGTTAACCCATGTTTCCTATCTACCCCCTACACATGGCAGTACTTTCAACACAGTGTGTTCATCTTGATTCTCTCTGCATCTGCTGGGGACTCCTGAGTTCCACCTTTCTTCCCAGCATTCTCTGTGTCTTGCTGTCCCACCTATACTTCCTGCCTAGCTACCGGCTGGTCAGCTCTTTTATTAGCCAATCAGAAGGCACCTTGATAATGACGCATCTTCACAGTGTACAAAGATTATTCCATAGCAGTCTCCCTGTGTTACATGCTGAGAAGAATGAAGTATAGTGTTTCACTGGTAGGCAAAGTAATTCCTTTGGAAGCGATTCGTAGACCATTTACTTCTAGGTATCTGGTATGCTTTGGGTTTTGGATAGTCAAATAAGAGTGAGCTGTCCACAAATTTACATTAATACTTGGCATATATCCTTTTTTCTTTTATTATTTTAATTTTAAATAGCTTGTCAATCTCAGTTCCCTCTCCCTCTCCTCCTCCCGCACCCCCCATCCCCCCCCATCCTCCCACCCTATAGCCATTTCCTTCCACATAGGGAATATCTAGAGTCTGTCATTTCACTCAGGGTAGGGTCCAGGCACTCCCCTCCAAGAGTCCAGGCTGAGAGAGCATCCCTCTTTGTGTTATGGACACACAATGTCTGTTAGTATTCGAGGGATAAACACTGATCCACTGCTCAGGACCCCATAGGTTGCCCAGGCCTCCTCACTGACTCTCACACTCAGGGGGTCTGGATCAGTCCCATGCTGGCCTCCCAGCTGTCGGTCTGGGGTCCAAAAGCTCTCCCCTGTTCAGATCAGCTGTCTCTGCTGGTTTTGCCAGCCCATTCTTTGCCGATTTGCTCATCGCTCCTCTCTCTCTGTCGCTGGGTTCCATGGGTTCAGTTCAGTGATTAGCTGTGGGTGTCTGCCTCTCTTCCATCAGTCACGGGATGAAGGCTCTTGGCATATATTCTTGTTCTCTGCTTCTCAACCCTTTTGCTTTTCCCAGGGACCTATTATTTCCTAAGTAACTAAACCATAAAGACCTGAGGGTGGGAACTAGTAAGCAAGGAAGGAAAACCCTTAATTTCTTGAGGAAATTCATTCTAAGGGCCGGGTTAAATACACCACAAGAGTGGCGGCTCCTCTTGTGGGAGCCTATCACCTTCATCCCTGGCCTCCTTGACGGCTATTCTGGTTGGTTTTCATTTATTTGAAGTGATGGTGCGCTTTGTCTATTTTAATGAAAATAGTTAAATTGGGTAAGATAAATAATATTGACTCAAATAAAAGAAATGTTGTGTTAAATAGGTTCTGCCATTAAGAGTCCGTGGTATTATTTCAGCTCAGGTACAATCCTACTGTTTGGAGCTGTGAAGACAAAGGCAGTGGTAGACATTGTCTTTATGGCTCCAGGAGGCCTTATTCCCCTTTCTTCCAAAGTGAAACACTGCTGTTAGCTTCCAGCTGGTAACTCAGCATTTCCCGCTCCCATTTTTTATGTATTATTTTTCTTAGTGGTTTGTGAGATGTTGGTTGTAGAAGTCCCAGTAAGACGCATAGATTTGGCATGAGAAAGCATTCTTTTTTTTGGGGGGGTCAGGGGAGTCTTTCATTGATTACCAAAACTGAACAGAACAGAACCAGTGGGACATCTTTGTGAATAGTTATCCATGTTTGAAAACGTACAGGTGAAGAAGACATTTCTAACAACTTATGTACAAGTTTAATTTTATTCTTTTCTTTTTTTAAAAAAATAAATTCCTTTTTTTGTTGTTTTTGTTTTTTTAAGACAGGGTTTCTTTGTAGTTTTAGAGGCTATCCTGGAACTTGCTCAGTAGACTAGGCTGGCTTCGAACTCACTGAGATCCGCCTGTCTCTGCCTCCCAAGTGCTGGGATTAAAGGTGTGCGCCGCCACCACCCAGCTTCACACCGGATTTTTCATTCTAGATCTTTGCTTTAGAGAATATGTAACTTTGTATGGGAAAAGGAGGTTCAGGAAAACTGCACAGGAAGCAAAGACAGAATATCAGTTTCAACTCAAAGTTCACAACATACAAAGAATTTATTTATGTAATACAGGCCTTTTCTCAAATATTTTCACAGAATTCCATACAGCAATCTACTAGAAAAAAAGTAGAATTATATGACACCAAAATAACATTGTTTCTTAGTACAAATTGCTCATCAAAAGGAAGGGAGAGATAGTTTCCTAACAAATAGAGGGCAGCATGGGTAGTGCTTAGCATAGTACCTGGTAGCCCCTGATCTCATGCCAGGATGGGGAGGGAGTTATGGGGAGGAGCTCCACCTGGCTCTGCCCACTGCAGGGCACTGTGACCTTGAAGCAGGCTGGGGTACTCACACTCAGTCATGAGAGAGGACAGCTGTGAGCCAGGAGCTCTCCCGTCATCTCTCCTGTGCCACGAGGACACCAGACCAGGAGAAGCAGAGAGGAGTTTACGATTGCTATAACTTAGACCTTTGCTGCTTACCACACAGTAAAATAAAAGGGCCGTCCCCAAACCATAATTTTCTAAGTCTAACACATGCTCAAAGAAGAATAATATAGAAATAATTCACTGAGATGTTTTAAATTACATTTGTCATAATTTAAACATTACTATTAAAACCCTAGAAATTTCAGCACTGAAGAGCACAATTGTCTAGAAAAATACAGGACCCAGTACAGAATAAAATTTCCCTGTCCCAATATTAGAACCCATTTCCCTATTGCTAAAATCATATTTC